GGATCACGCTACAAACAGTGTTACTGAAAAGCCCGATTTGATAATTATGAATAGGCTCCTGTTTTCTTCTCGCATTTATTCTTATTATGCAAAACTCCTCAGAGCGGCACTGTCGTCTGTGCTTTACCATCCAAAAATGGGCCATACATCTGTTAGGCTGGTTTTACACAGTTAAACTTCCATGCAACTAGTTGCAGGTCGTAAGTTGCCTACAACACATTTGATTATTCCACTTTATTAGCAGCTCATATTTCTGATACACTGGATCATTATTGCTCTAAAGTCATCCGAGAGGTGTAATTACATTATTTATATGTCTTCTATCCATCTATACTATATGGACAAAAGTATTGGAACACCTACACATCACACCTACGGGAGCTTTTATGACGTCCCATTCTAAATCCATTGGCATTAATATGGAGTTGGTCCTCTTTTGCAACTATAACAGCTTCCACTCTTCTGGGAAGCTTCTACAAGATGTTGGAGAGAGCCCATTCATCCAGAAAAGCATTTGTGAGGTCAGACACTGATGTTGGACGAGAGGGCCTGGCTCAAAATCTCCATTCTAGTTCATCCCAAAGGTGTTTGATGGGGTTGAGGTCAGGGATCTGAGAGGGCCAGTCAAGTTCTTCCACACCAAACTCAACCAGCCAGGCCTTTATGGAGCTGCTTTGTGCACTGGGGCTCAGTCATGCTGGAACAGAAAAGGTTCTTCCCCAAACTGTTCCCACAGTTGTTGGAAGCATAGAATTGCCCAGAATGTTTTGATCATTAAGATTTCCCTTCACTGGATCTAAGGGTTCTAGACCAACCCCTGAAAAACAACCCCATATCATCATCCCTCCTCCACCAAACTTTACAGTTGGCACAATGCAGTCAGGCAGGTAACGTTCTCCTGGCATTCGCCAAACCCAGACTCGTCCATCAGACTGACAGATAGAGAAGCTGATTCATCACTCCACAGTATACGTCTCCACTGCTCCAGAGTCCAGTGGCAGTGCTTTACACCACTCTATCCTACCCTTGGCATTGTGCTGCTGGCACACAGTGTTTGTGCTGATGTTGATGTTAGAGGAGGTTTAAACTCTGCAGTTATTAAGTCAGCAGGGTGTTGGTGACTTCATGACACTATGCTCCTCAGCACTTGGCGACCCAATCTGTAACTTTACGTGGTCTGACACTTCGTGGCTGAGCTGCTGTGGTTCCTAAACACTTCCACTTTTCAATAATACCTCTCACAGTTGATCGTGGAACATCTAGAAGGGAAGAAATTTCACAAACTGACTTGTTGCAAAGGTGGCATCTTATTGCAGCACCACGCCCGAATTAGTGAGCTCTTTAGAATGACCCATTCTTTCACAAAGGGCTGACTGCATGGCTAGGTGCTTGATTTCATACACCTGTGGCAATGAGACTGAATGAAACACCTGAATTCAGTGATTAAGAGGTGTGTTCCAAAATGTTTGTCCATATACTGTACCTAGGGTTCTTTACTATACATTTGAAGGGGGTTTGGTCTGTGCTGTGTATGTTAAGCTTTAAGATTATAATGGATTTATTGCCATTTACACCACAGGTGTATTAGAATTCTTACCCTGTTCTCAGGCAAACAAATACATGCACAGCGATAACTGGTGCAACAGGACAACCATTAGCCACAACTGCACTGGCTCTCAATTATGTAGAAATGTAAATGCAATAAATAGGCAAATAAATGATTGAGGGAGGGCCCATAAAATTTACAAATAAGTACTGTACTTTAACAAGGTGAATACATTTATGAGACAAGACTTACAAGATGTGGACAGACAGACAGACAGACAGACAGACATTACACAAAGACATAATTAAACACTGTGCAGAACTACATGGTCAAACAGGTTGTGCTGGTATGAATATAATGAACTAGAGTGTGTTGGTGGTTTGTATTGAGTGATGTGTGTGAATGGTTGGTGTCTGTGAGGCTCAGTGTAAATTGTTTCTTTGCATGTCATTCAAAATGAGGCAGATTGTCCTGGAGTAAAAACTGCCAGTAAGTCATTTCCTACTTGATGTCATTTTGTCACAGAAACACAACACATTCATTGAGAAGCGCATCTATATCTCCCCTCCTGTAACAATTTTCATTCTTTGTACTGCAAATGAATCTGAGCTCTGCGGAAATTTCGGGAGCACCAAGAGAGGAGAAAGTGAATCTAGTTATGTAGAACACGTGCGGCAAAAAGACACATCGTCGAGCATCAAGGAAGTTCAAACCATTTCAATTTTTGCTGCAACGGATTCTGACATGGAGGCACATCAACCAACAGAAACATGCAGGCAGAAGATGAGATCCAAGACGGAGCACAGTAGCGCCACTGTGTGGTCTTTTCCTGTTCTTTGCCTTCATGGCTGTTGTCTGCTTCGCTCTGTATATGGCCAACACCAAAATTTTCTTTCGATGGCACATAATTCTTTGTTTCTGGTCCAACTGTTCTGTTTCCCCGCTGGATTTCTAACTGTACAAACTCCGCCCTGCTCCAGCCATGTAAATGCCTTCTAGACGGACAAGACCTGCATGCGTATGCGTCTGCATGTGTACCCTAACAGTATATGTCCACTTGCAACGTTGCCTTTCTGCATTCTATTCATTCCAGTGGAGAGCTCTGCTGCATCGGGTAGTGCGGCGAAAAAGTTCAGCAGATTTCAACTTTATGCAAATGAATGTGCTGCACTGTGTTTAGCCAGTCAGCTAACAGTAGACTGGTCTTTGTCACAACTGGCAAACGGGTCATTCTACAGAAACATCCATTTTTGTGTCCCTAGCGTTTACAGATATATTACACTTGAAAAACATGTTAGTGTTACAATTTATTTACCACAGAAGAGCTCATCCTCACAGTCATGTGTAAAGGGTGATGCCATATTTTGAAGTAAAAAACTTGTTCTTCTGCAATTTTAACTGCAATAATCTATACATGACTATGGAATATACACTATACTGCCAAAAGTATTCACTCACCCATCCAAATCATTGAATTCAGGTGTTCCAATCACTTCCATGGCCACAGGTGTATGAAACCAAGCACCTAGGCCTGCACACTGCTTCTACAGACATTAGTGAAAGAATGGGTCACTCTCAGGATAGGATGCCACCTGTGCAACAAGTCCAGTTGTGAAATTTCCTCCCTACTAAATATTCCACAGTCAACTGTCAGTGGTATTATAACAAAGTGGAAGCGATTGGGAACGACAGCAACTCAGCCACGAAGTGGTCGGCCATGTAAAATGACAGAGCGGGGTCAGCGGATGCTGAGGTGCATAGTGCGCAGTGGTTGCCAACTTTCTGAAAAGCCAGTCGCTACAGACCTCCAAACTTCATGTGGCCTTCAGATCAGCTCAAGAACAGCGTAGAGAGCTTCATGGAATGGGTTTCCATGGCCGAGCAGCTGCATCCAAGCCTTACATCACCAAGAGCAATGCAAAGCGCCGCCACTGGACTCTAGAGCAGTGGAGACGTGTTCTCTGGAGTGACCAATCACGCTTCTCCATCTGGCAATCTGATGGATGAGTCTGGGTTTGGCGGTTGCCAGGAGAACGTTACTTGTCTGACTGCATTGTGCCAAGTGTAAAGTTTGGTGGAGGGGGGATTATGGTGTGGGGTTGTTTTTCAGGAGTTGGGCTCGGCCCCTAGTTCCAGTGAAAGGAACTCTTAATGCTTCAGCACCAAGAGATTTTGGACCAAAATGACTGCACACCATTGCACAAAGCAAGGTCCATAAAGACATGGATGAGCGAGTTTGGTGTGGAAGAACTTGACTGACCTCAACCCGAAAGAACACCTTTGGGATGAATTAGAGCGGAGACTGTGAGCCGGGGCTTCTCGTCCACCATCAGTGTCTGACCTCACAAATGTGCTTCTGGAAGAATGGTCAAAAATTCCCATAAACACTCCTAAACCTTGTGGAAAGCCTTCCCAGAAGAGTGGAAGCTGTTATAGCTGCAAAGGGTGGGCCGACAACATATTAAACCCTATGGATTAAGAATGGGATGTCACTCAAGTTCATATATGTGTGAAGGCAGACGAGCGAATACTTTTGGCAATATAGCGTATGATTTAAATGACATGAAGAAAACAAATGCCAAATAAATATTATAAAATATATACTGAAAGTTGTTGTCCCCAGGAGTCGTGTCACTGGTGTTACCACTTAACAAAAAATCTATTTTGAAATAAAAGTCACACTGATGACATCACTCGACTTCCTTTTACCTGTTTTCTGAGGATCTATGAAGAAAAGCACTTAGTGAGTCCACTGTGTCTTTCAGTTATCAGAGATTTTCTCATTTAGCTCATGATTTCCTATGAAGCTTTTAGCTGAAGTCACTGGTGTGACCGACTTTATTCTGAGGTAATTGTGAAAAAATAAGAGTACAAATGGATTAAATTACATATTTTAGTGGATTTTCCATGACTGACAACATGTGGTTTCATGTTCTGTAGCAGCCATTTTGCAAAATGCATTTTTCATTAAAATGTCTCTGGTGTTACCTTTCTTATTTGTAACACCAATGAGGACTCGGAACACCAGTGACACCTATGGAGAGATAGAAAAGTGGACGTTTCTGTAGAATGACCAAGGTACAGTTTTAGAATGGTTCATATTTAATGAACAGACGACTCTCAGTTTCACCGGGAAATCATTCATCAAAACATTATAACATTTCTTATGGCGTTCCACAAGTTTCAGTCTTAGGGCCTTGCTAAAATGCCTGTATCTTTTAGGATAGATTTGAAAATTCTTTTATTCGTTTTTAAAGCCCTGAATGCACTCTACTGCAGTCTACGGTGTGTTTGTACTTTTTTCGTTTACACAGTACATTTTGAGTAAAATCACACTGTATTTACTCAAAATGAACTGTGTAAACCACAAAAGTGTTTTCCAAATGGTTCTGAAAGCGTTAACAGTAACATGTTACAAATATGTTCGCAGAGAAAGACTGAATATGAACTGAAGTGTTGATATTTTAATATTTTATTTACAATAGAATACAATCCCATCCTATAAATACAATCTTCTTTATCATGCCTCATTACCCAAAACAACAAGGCAATCTTGGTTCAAATATATCCTCAAACTGCTTCAAAAAGGTTTTGCTGAATGCAGTTGTTATTGCATCCCTTTAACCATGTTAGCAAAAACATGCAAAGCAAAAATACCAATGTAGGAAAATACAGTTGATATTAACATGCAGTATGATTTTACAGTACAGCAATCAAGTATTTAAAAATAGAAAAGAAAAGATAATTGCTTTTGTATGAAGAAACTGGGGCAAATGTATCGGGAGAACAAGCAAAACAGCAAAAACATGAAATAAAATAATACAAATTAACGCAGGCCTAGTACGGAGGTTATCAAAAGTATCAAAGATACAGTATGCATGGTGTTGAGAACTCTATACTGTGGTTATTTATGCATGATTATTTCAAGGTTAAACCTATGTTTCTTTACTTATTTTTGAATTGATTATAAGAGGCTTTTGCATGTACAGACGCAGTTTATAGTAAGCAACCTTCTTTGTTACTTTAGAAATGCACCACTTATTGAAATATACAATCTTACTGACTAATTTATGTTCATGAGCACAAAGCCCATTTTTTTTCCAGTGAAGATTTTAAAACTTAAATGGCAAAACGGATACAACAACAAAACAATGCACAAAGTTCAAGCACCCCGAACAAAATGTCATGTTAAAACATACGGCCTAAAAAGCAGCTGTCCTGATTATAACTATGGGCTTTGCCTTTTTTCCTAATTGGCTTCAAAATATTAAACATAATATAAACAGATATTGAATAACATGAATTCGCAATGCAAAAAAGAATATCAAATGAAGGTAGCAGAACATGTATGTTGGTCAATCAAACAGGGTCTATTTGTGGTTCTCTTGATTGGAGCAATCTGTTCCATAGGATCTCTCCAGTGGGCAGTAGAACATATGGACATAGTCTAGGACAAACCACAAACAGATGCAACAATGAATAATTAAAAAGGCAGATTGGCATTAATATGGCATCAATGGTAGTATAACAGGCGATATGTACACCTGAATAATTAGTACCTTCATCTCTGCAGTTTGAAAGTGGTGGTGAGGTTTTAGTATGGAGTTCTGAAGTGGACACCACTCCTTTTCAGCAAGAGAAAGCTGTTGATAGTACGTCAGAAATATTAAGACATGTCTGCCAGAACAAATAGAAACCATAGAAAGTAGTTTACTGTGTAGCATAAAACTATGTGATGACCATCATGGTGTGACTCATTACATCATAAGCACTGATGCTATCAAAAAGTATTTGGACCAGGGATGTACAACGATATTGGAATCATAACAGTATCGGCAGACGTTCGCTGAAAAAAAAAAAGATTAAAAATACTGACATTTTACAACATTTAGAGCCCTAGAAAAAATGAGTATAACAATTCTTTACAATGCTAATCCCATTAGATTTAGTCGCAATTTCTACATTTTTATAAACTGTTTATGTATCAGAACTGGCATCGACAGATATGACTGAAAAATATCGGGATCGGCCTACAGCCTTCATTTCAGTGCAAATGCCGCTTGGTTTCACATTGGTTTCCTAACACAATGACCTTAACACTGTTTTAAGTATGGCACAAACGTCCAAAAACTTTCTGGAGCCACTGTATACTACAGTGCTATCATGCTATCAAGCAATGGCAAACTGACAGGGGAGTGTTACTCCTAAACAAACAAACAATACTTAACCAGATAATTTAACTTCAAGTTTAAGGCATTAGAGAGTTGGACTAAAAAAAAACAAACAAAAAAATGTTGCTTTGGTGAGCTTCAGTGTCTGATAAAAGAATAATAATAAAATTGTTCATATAAAGTGTTGCCATTGACTTAATTCATTCTCTGCAGTGTCACTTATATAAAGCCTTTCAGAAATATGAAATACTATAATGAAATCAGTTAGAATATTAATTTAAAATGAAAAAATACACTTACAATATAGTGAGTGCAGAGCTCAGGTAAGGTTAAGGCTCAAATGAAGTCCACTTTGATTTGGGAGATGAGACAGGAACAGAAGACTAGGTATGGATAGGATGGGTCTCTCACTTGTCTTGAGAAGGTTGTTCAGTGCCATCTTCTGGAATTTGTTTTTATAGCTTTTGAGTCCGTAGGTTTTCTGGGATCAGTGGCAGAGATTTCAATGAATCCATTCTGATTTATCTTGAAAGACAGCAGAGTTCCAATGGCTTAAGTGTTGTTCCATTTCATATGAAAAGGAGAGTGCAAAAAGCTTGACATGTAACTGTGGCAGTGTTGCCAAAAAAGGGTTTCTGAAGCATTGTTTCTTCATGTGCTCTGACGCTAATAAGATTCCTTATTCTGCTCTGCAGATGGTCACCAGCCCTTCTCTTTAACATTCTAGCAAACTGTCACAACATGTATATTATCAAAACAATTCAGATGCATAAGAGATCTGTACACAAATAGAAATCAAAATAAGCTTTACTTCGTACTTAAAGCATATGTTTCTTAACTCAGCATTTTTGAATAAAAAAGCTCAAGAGGATTGTTGAATATCATATTAAGCGGGCTTAAGGCAGAAAGAAATAGTACAAGAGCAGAGGAATTCATAACACTGATAATTGCAATGTGTAACAGTGTTTAAAAAATATTCCTAAATATATCATGGATTTTCAATTTTTTCCATAAAAGGCATTACAGAAAAAGTAAACATGAGTTCATCATTTCTTATGTAATTATTTGAGAAATCATTTAAATATTAAAAATATAGTCTAACATGAATTGAAATATTAAAGCCAGTATAATTTAATAATGCTTCCCCGGCCCCACAGCAACCACATGCAGAGCAGAATTAAACGCCTTTTTTTAAATGGTTTAAGCAACTAAAGAGCACTGTGGTTGCGAATGTGAGAACAATCTCATCTCATCAGACCAACAGTTCCCTCTGGGTGTTAATGCTGTTAAGGCGTTCTTTAGTTCATCCATATTCAAACCACTGTGCTCCCCTAAGCCATATCGGCGTCCATAGCTTGGGGAGCCATAGGAAGATGAGGAGAAACTCATGGAAAAACCAGAGCCTGTAGCATCAAAGCTTCCTCGTCTAGAGCCAGACCTGGAACCAGTTCTGGAGCCAGACCTGGATCCTGAGGTTGATCCAGAGCCACTGATACTGTATGGGCTATAAAGGCCTTTACTAGACTGAGATGATGCCTCCAGCAAGCGTAAGCCTGAGCCCTCCTCAATCATGCTTCGCTCCATTGCATCTTTGTAAGATATCTTCAGCTTTGTTTTGGGGCATGTGAGATACTTGGAATATCCACTGACATCTCGTAGTTTCTGCGCAGTGCGAGCATCAAGAGTGCCCTTCTTTACAGCCTCATCCAGTGATACTCTGCCTGTGACATCAGGTTCAATTAATCCACCTGTTAGATACTGGACTTCGAGAAAACGTTGGCCAGCCTCATAGTACAGCCAACCTTTCTTTAAGGCTTGAGCTGCTGACATTTTGGTTTTGGTTCTTGGATCTTCAAATCCCTGGTAGGCTTTCTGAGCTAAGTTGATGCGGTCTACCATTATCTTGTCAACCAGCCCCTTGTTCGTGGCATCAGCCACAGTAAACTTTTCTCCAGTATTTGGGTCAATGATACCCCCTGTGCATGCCTGTGCTTCTAGCAGCCTTTGACCAGTAATATTATCAACCAGATTCCGATGCATGGCCTCGGTGACTGACACCTTCTCCAGAGTATCCGTGTCCAGGATGCCAGCAACTGGCCCAGTTTCCTCTGTTGGGTCACTCCAGGTTGTTGCTGGGGTCCTGATGGCTGGAGCTGGGCTCATAGGAAATGATGAGGTGGACCCAAAGGAAGATGAACGTGATCTGAATCCACTCATGTTCCCTGACAACATGTCTGCAAATTCAGTGATAGACAGAGTGCCTGCACGGTACTGGTCTAAAGCGGACTGGTCTATGAGACCTTTAGTGATGGCATCATCAATGTCATACTGACGTCCAGACCTCCTGTCAGTGATCATAGACTTGACGACACCATCCGATGATGAGATGGTAATTTCCTCCCATTCACATTCTTGCTCTGCAAGCTCTAGATATGTCTGATGATCGATGAGTCCTTTGCGGTATGCTTCATAAACAGACATTTCTTTACCCGTTTCTGGGTCTACAATCACTACTCTGCGCTTGCGCACTGATGACTTGGAAGATGTCTTTCGTTCACGCTTTTTCTCTTTCAGCGTTAGGAGAGCAAGTCCAGTTTCAGGGTCAATCATGCATCGCTCCATCAGTTGAAGGTAAGTCAGATTCTCCTCGGTGTTTGGATCAAAGAAACCTTTAGTGTCATCGGAGGGGTCAGTGAGAATACTGTTCATCTCCTCATCAAAGAGGCCGCGCTTGTACGCTTGTTCTACTGGAAGCCGATAACTTCCCTCAGGATCAATTATTCCACCAGTGGCTATCTGAGCCTCCAGAAGACGAATACCATGGTCTTTGAGGATCAGACCCTTCTTCATGGCCTGGAATAGGGAAATGATCTTACCAGAGTATGGCTCTTTGTAACCCGTCACAGCTCGTTCAGCAGAGAGAAGCTTGTCTTTAAACTCTGAGCCAACCACTCCCATTTTTACAGCTTCATTGACAGTCAGTTTCAAATTCTTGATTGGATCAATCACATATCCAGTGGCTGCTTGAGCCTCAAGCAATTCAAAGGCAGTGCCAGGTCTGATCATGTTCTTCTTCATGGCTTGGTAAATGGACAGCCGATCTTTAGAAGCCTCTACATACACGCCAGCAATACAGCTTGTGCCCTCAAGGTATTTCTTCAAGTCTTTGCTGATGTCTTCCACTGAGACGATGCCTTCGATAAGCTCTGTGTAAGTCTTCTGATCAATAATCTGAGAGCGCAGCAGTTCATCTATGGTAATTTGCTTTCTTAAACCTCCGAACATCAGTCTTTTGTCTGCAAGAGAGAGTAAATGCAGGCCACTTTCTTTGTCAACTTTGCATCGCTTGAGAAGTTGAGCGTACGACAGCTTTTCATCTGTCGTTGGATCAACAAATCCTTTCATGTCTCCACTAGGGTCAGATAGCCTCTCACTCGTTTCTTTGTTGATATATCCACGTTGCAATGCAACATCAGCTGGGAGGTGGAAACTGTACTCGGGATCCATTAGGCCACCAGTTGCAATCTGAGCCTCCAGGAGCTTCAAAGCATACTCTTCAGGAATCAGGTCCTTTTTCATGGCTTGAAATAGGGAAATGACTTTACCACTGTATGGGTCTTTGTACCCTGTGACTGCCCTCTCTGCAGACAAAAGTTTGTCATGGAGTTCTGGGCCAACAAGACCCTTGCGGACAGCCTCGTCAACTGTTAGCAATTCATGTTTCACAGGATCAATCATAAATCCTGTTGCTGCTTGTGCTTCCAACAAATCAATGGCATCATCAGGCTTGATAAGGCCTCTTTTCATGGCATTGTAAATGCTAACTTTGGCAAAGTTGTCTGAGAGCACTCCAGCAATGCTGCCCGTGCCAAAGAGGTACTGCTTAACTGTTGTCATCTCCATAACCTCCCGGATGGTTTTCTTGCCTTGTTTCAGCAGATTGTAAGTTTCAAGGTCTATTATGCGAGAGCTGTATAGTTCTTCAATTGTAACCCTGCGTCGAATTACATCACACAGCATACTCTGCTCGGTTTTAATAATTTCTCTTTGCTCAATGATTTCAATGACAATGATGATCATTCTCTCTTTTGTGATTTTTCCTGACCGGAACTGTTGAAGAAGTCTTTGCTTATCATCTTCTGGAAGCAAGTCTGATGCCATGACGTCCCATAAACTCGTCTGCTTTCCTGCAAAACTTTTGTGTGGTATATCAATTTGTGTGTTAGCCAAGTCTGTTTGTGCTTGCTCTTCAGTGTAAACATATGACTTCTCAGCTTCTTTTGGAATCTCAGGCTTAGAAAGTGGTAAGAGAAAAACACCAGATTCAGGATCTTTCATGCATCTGTCTATCAGCTGTTTGTAAGTGACAATCTCATCTTTGTTAGGATCAGTGAAACCTTTGACATCCTCTGAAGGATCTTTGAAGGACTTAGCCAACTGCTTGTTTAAGTAACCTCGCTGAATGGCTATGTCAGTGGGAACACGATGGCTATTCACTGGATCAACTATCCCTCCAGTGGCCTCTTGGGCTTCCAGAAGGGGTATGGCATGTTCCCTAAGAACAAGCTCTTTTTGCATTGCTTGGAAAAGGGAAATCTTGTTACCAGTGTACGGATCTTTATAACCTGTTACAGCCTTCTCCGCAGACAGCAGTTTTTCGTGAAGCTCAGGTCCAACAATGCCAGCTTTTACAGCATCGTCCACAGTAAAGCTCTGATTCCTGATTGGATCAACAATAAACCCAGTTGCCGCCTGGGCCTCCAACAAGGCAAGGCCTGTACTTGGCGTTAGTAATTTCTGTTTCATTGCCTGATAAATGCTGAGCTTTTCTTTAGATTTCTCGTCAAATGCTCCCGCAATGGTTTCAGATCCTCTCAAGTAGTTCTTGACTGAATCAATTTCACTGATCTCCGTCGGCTTCTTTTTACCTTGTTGGAGCTGATCGTAAGTGGCTTTGTCAATGATTTTGGATTCAAACAGGGAGGTAGCAGTAACAGGTTCTCTAAGACCGCTAAAGGTATCTTGCTGAATTTTTATCTGCTTTTCTTCAACCAGTGTTATCACAATCTTTATTATCTTTTCAATTGTAACCTTTCCTGATCTGTACTGGCGTATTATGTCAATCCTCTGTTCTTCTGTTAGATATTCAGAATTGATAATCTCCCAGATAGTGACCTTTCTTCCTTTAAAGGGTCCACTGTTTAACTCCAGTGTTGACTTGTTTAAAGCTTCTTTGGTTTGAACATCTAAGACCAGATCTGATTCTGTGGACTTAACAGCTTTTTCTGAGAGTGGAAGCAATGAGAGGCCTGTTTCTTTGTCAGTGATGCATTGTTTCTTCAGCTGTGCATAGGAAACATTCTCCCTTGAGTTTGGGTCAAAGAACACTTTGGTAGTGTCAGATGGACTGCTTAAGCTCTTGTTGACTTCCTCACTGAAATACCCACGTTTGTAGGCAATATCCTTAGGAATGCGATAACTTTTCACTGGGTCGATGATTCCTCCAGTCTCAAGTTGGGCCTCCAGTAGCCGCATACCCTGATCTTTGTTAATGAGGTCTTTTTGCATTGCCTCAAACAAGGACACAGTCATTCCAGTATATGGATCCTTGTACCCACAAACTGCTCTTTCGGCAGACAACAACTTTTCATGCAGCTCTGGGCCAACAATCCCAGATTTAACAGCATCGTCAACCGTGAGCTTTTGGTTTTTTACTGGATCAATTATGAAGCCTGTTCCAGCCTGGGCTTCTAAGAGTTGTAGTGCAGTCTCTTCTCCAAGCAAGTTCTTCTTCAGGGCTTCATAGATTGGCACCTTCTCCTTAGTTGACTCAATGAACACTCCAGCAATACTGTTTGTTCCCTTGAGGGCTTTTTTGACAGGTTCCATCTCAGACACTTCTTTTACAGAAGTTTTGCCATTATGCAACTCATTGAATAAATCTTTATTAATGATCTTTGAGTCCAGGAGCTCAGACGCAGGCACAGATGATCTCAAACCATCAAAGGCAGGTTCTTTCGTTTTTTCTTTATCCTCCACAACAGTAATCACAATCTTTATGATTTTTTCTACGGTAATTTTGCCTGATCTATACTGACGAATAAGATCTTTCCTCTGATCTTCCGTAAAGTACTCAGAATTGATCACTTCCCAGATGGTCACTATCTTGCCCTTGAATCTTCCAAATGGCACGGATACATTTGTTTTACTGAACACATCTCTAGTTTCCTCATTTGTGTAAGTCCTTTCCGTAACTGATGCTGCCTCTGTGACAGGAAGGAGTGGGAGGCCTGTATCAGGATCTGGTTTGCATCTGGCTAGTAGCTGATGATAAGTGAGGCTTTCTTGGGTGTTGGGATCACTAAATGCTTTTCTTTCATCTGGTGGACTGGACAAAACCTTGTTCAGCTCCTCATCCAACTGACCTTGTTTACATGCTGTTTGGACTGGCACACGGTGGCTGTTTACTGGATCGATTATGCCACCAGTTGCAATTTGAACATCAAGAAATTTAACAGCTTGGTCCTCGGTAACCAAACCCTTTTTCATGGCTTCAAATAGTGAGATCTTTTGTCCAGTGAAAGGATCTTTGAAACCAGTCGCAGCCCTTTCAGCAGAGAGCAATGAAGTGTGCAGTTCAGGCCCAATAATGGATTCCTTTACAGCCTCATTGACAGAGAGCCTTCTGTTCTTAACGGGATCAATAATACATCCAGATGCAGCCTGAGCTTCAAGAAGACTCAAAGCTGTGCTAGGTGAAATTGTATTCTCCTTCAAAGCCTGATAGATGCTCATTTTTTGGTTGGGTTCCACTATTACACCACCAATGCAATCATTGCCTTTCAGACACCTCTTGACTTTGTCCAATTTACTGAGCTCTTGCACAGTTGTCTTGCCTTTTTTAAGTTTATCAAATTCTTTTTTGTTCAGCACACCAACTTCATTAAGCCTGCTTGCAGGCACCTTGTCTCTGATTCCATCAAATGCCAGTGGTGAGTCTCCATTTGCCTTTACTCCATCAACGTCTGCAGAACCATTGATAGCTTTCTTTGTTGTTTCTTGCACTGTTGCTGTAACTAATTCATCTTCAGGTACTTTGTCAGTTTGGATCTCAATTTCCTTTGTTTGGCATGCAGGTTTCTGGGTGCCCTTCAGCTGCTGGAGCTTCTCTCGTAACTTCTTGTTTTCCTCACCCATGAGTTTCTCTTGATCTTGTTTTTTCTTTTCTAGCTCTTCCATCTCTTTTTGCTTGTTAAGCATCTCTTCCTCAGCATCCTTCTGCTTTTTGACTGCAGCATCCAGGATAGCCTGAAGTTTCTTTTTCTCCTCCTCCATCTGTTTCCTCTGATGCTCTTGTTCATCTTTAAGTGCTTTGGCTTTCTTCATCTCATCATCCAATTGTTTTTCCAGCTTCTTTTTCTCAGCCTCGATGGTCTTCTCCTGTTTCAGCAGGGTTTCTTTCTCTATAAGGAAAGTCTGCTGAAGGACTGTCTTTTCTTTTAGAATTTGCTCCTGTTGCGCACTGGCCATCTATGGTGAAACAGAAATAAATTGTTAATTTCATGAATGTGGAAACAAACATGATAATCAAATAGAAAAAATAATAGGAATAAAATATAGCTTAAGCAATACACTGCGTGCAATTTACTTACAGTAATGGAACAACTGAATACAAAGTTAGACAAATATGAGAGAATATGGTTGTTTTTTGGTAAGGAAAATCTGTTCTTTGGATATGATCACTTGAGTAAACTTATTTAAATTTGGAAGAACTTTGTTCATGAAAATTGCTGTCCATGTTACTGATGATCAGCAATTGGCACAAACAAGAAGATAACCACATCAGCTTTGAAAAGGTTCAGTGTTACTGAAAGGGGTTGTGGTTATTTTCAGGGAAATTAGTATTTCAGTTTTACTACATGACAATACCTCTTTTGCTTTATTTTGTAAATCCAGTGACTCCTTTTTCAGTTTCTCCTTTTCTTGTTCAAGTGCTGCAATTGCATTGCGCAAGTCATCTGCCTCTTTGGTGCTTTGCAGCCTCTCCACTTCCAGCTTCTCAACAACAGTGACTTTTTCTGAGGTTTGTTTTTCAGTCTCGAGCAAACGGGCTCTGATTTCTTCTGCTTGTTTCCTGAAATTTTTAGCTTCTTCCTCTGCTTTCGACTGCGCTTTGCTTAGCTCTGTTACTTTGAGCCTCAGCTTCTCTGCCTCAGCGGTTGCTTCTTGCTGCCGCTTACGTTCTGCCTCTAAGGATTTCTGGAAGCCTTCCGTCTCTTGGTCTAAACGCTGTTGCATCTCCTTTTTAGCCTCCAGCAGTTTTTGGGCCTCTTCTTGAGCTTGGTCTTTCTGTTTCTGGAGCTTTTCAGCCTCAGCCTTCAGTTTCGATGCTTCCTGAATGGCTAGCATCTTCTCTTTGAGCATCTTTTCAGCCAGCTCTCTCTGTTGGGCAAGGTCGGACTCTGCAACCTGTCTTAGTCTAGCAGCTTCCTGGGCATCAGCACTGAGCCGTGCAGCCTCTTCAGCCAGCTTCTTCATGTTCTCAGCCTCTTCCTCAAGCAATTTCTTTGTGTTCTCCTTATCTTTGTTCATGAGTTGCTGGTTTTCCTTCTCAATTTTAACCTTCAGTTTGAGCAGTTCCTCCATCTGGATCTTTACTTTAGAGAGCTCATCTTCCACCTGAGCTTTCTGCTTGACAGCATCAGCGACCTCATCCTTCAGTCGTTTCAGTTCATCATCCAAAACAGATTTCTGCTTGTCTGTGTTTTCAAGTTGTAGTTTTACCTTTGCTAACTCTTCCTCCACCATAGATTTCTGCTTCAAGGTTGTCTCAGCAAGCTCTTTGTGCTTGGCCATCTCTGCATCAGCCTGTTCCTTCTGTTTCAATGCTGCTCCTTCTGCTTTAGCACGTTTGGAAGCTTCTTTCTCAGCTTCTTTCCTCAGTTTTTCAGCATCTTCTTGGGCTTTGGCCTGTTTAGCCGCTTCTGCTTCGGCTGCTTGTTTCTGACGCTCGGCCTCATCTGCCTTCTGTCGAAGCAAAGCAGCCTCTTTCTCAGCTTTCTCTTTGGCCTTTTCTGCATCTTCAGCCAATTTCTTTGCCTTCTCAAACTCTTGTTTTAGCTTAGTTTGAGCAAGGCTGTCCTCTTTCTGTTGGACAAAGACATCCTGAGCTTTCTGCTCAGCTGCAAAACACTTTTGTGCAGCTTCTTGAGCCAAAATAATCTGTTTCTCAGCTTCCTTGTCAGCATGCTCTTTTTGCTTTTTGGCCTCTTCAGCTTTCTTTCGAAGACGCTCAGCTTCTTCTTGAGCAGCCTGGCACTGTCTTGCCGCCTCCTCTTCTGCAGCTGCAATCTTCTTCACTTTTTCCTCTGCCTCCTTCCTCTTCTTCTCTTCCTCTAGCGCCAGCTTTCTAAACTTCTCCGCCTCCTCTTCGGCTTGTACTTTACTTTTCTGAGTCTCATCAGCGATGCTCTTTAGCTTGTTCAGCTCAAGTTCGAGGTCTCGCTTTCCTGTTGAGGCCTTTTCAAAGTTGATCTTCAGTATGTGAATCTCCTCTTCGACCACTTTCCTCTGCTTCAGTGTTTCTTCAACAATTTTCTTCTGCCGGTCTAATTCATCATCAGAAGACTTCTTTAACTGGCTGATCTTTACCTCAATATCTTGCTTATGCTGGGCTGCTTGATCTTCAAGCGTCTTCCTTTGGTAGGCTTCTTCCTCAGCTTTTCTCTTAAGACGCTCGTTTTCAGCCTCCTTCTCTTTCAAAGCAATCTCAGCCTCAGTCTTCAAACGAGTCGCTTCATTGATGGCAGCCAGCTTTTCTTTAAGGATCTTCTCAGCCTCTGCTCTCTGGTGGGCTGCTTCGTCCTCTGCAACCTTCCTTTGCTTCTTCGCTTCTTCAGCAACTGCCCTCAGTTTGGCTGCCTCCTCGGCAAGTTCTCTCATCTTGGCTGCCTCAGATTCAAGAAGCTGTTTGCTCTTCTCGGTATTTGACATGGTCTCTTTCTCAGCTTTGGATTTCAATTGGATGAGGACTTCCATCTCCTGTCTTACCTTAGAAAGCTCTTCCTCTAGTTGTTTTTTCTGATTCACGGCTGTGTTCACTTCGTTTTTGAGGCGCTGCAGTTCATCATCGAGCAGAGCTCTTTGCTGCTCAGCATGATCAAAATCTGATCTCAAACGGATAAGCTCCTGTTCTGCTAGGAGCTTTTGTTGAGCAGTTTCTTCAGCACCTTTCCTTTGCTTTTCGAGCTCCTTCTCTGCAGTCTCCTTCTGCTTTAGGGCAAGCTCTTCAGCTTTGGCCCTCCTCTTCGCCTCTCGTTTTGCTTCTTCTTTCTGTTTCTCTGCCTCCTCCTGAGCAGCACTCTTCTTATGGGCCTCCTCCTCAGCCTGGAGCCTGAGTCGTAGAGCTTCGTTAGCTTTCTGTCTCCATATCTCCAGCTCCTTCTCAGCCTCTTCTCTTGCCTTATCTGCTTCGGCTTGCTGCTTCTTAAGCCGGTCTGCCTCCTCTTGAAGCTGAATGACAGTGCCTTGCTCTTGTTTCAGTGACTCTTCCAATTTTGTCGTTTTCTCGACAAACGAAAGCCGTTTGCTCTGCAGCTCTGTGGCAGCAGTCTTCTGTGCCACCTCCTCTGCAACTTGGATCTGCCTTTCCTTTTCCAGTTCAGCTTGCTTCATGCGCCTCTCTGCCTCCTCAGCTTGCTGCTTGAACTTCTCCAGATCTTCGAGCGCCTTTTGCTTCTGCTTTGCAGCCTCCTTCTCTGCCTCAGATTTTAGCTTCAGCTCCTCCTCTGCTTTGCGCTTTTTCTGAGTCTCTTCATTTACTTGCTTCTGAAGCTTCTCTGCTTCTTCTTGGGCAGCTTTTCTGAGCCTGTCAGCCTCTGCTGCTTTATCCTTAAGCTGCTTAAGTTCAGCTTCCGCCGTCGTTTTCTGTTTCACTGTTGTCTCCAGCTGGAGTCGGATTATGCGGATCTCTTCTTCAATCTTGATTCGGCTATGCAGGGCCTCTTCTACCTGCTGGCTTTTAGACTTGATCTCCTGCTCTGAGAGGTTCCTGAGTTCTTGTAGCTCCTGCTGAATGTTCTGTTTCTGTTTTTCGGCATCGACTGCAACAACTTGTCTTCTGCTGACTTCCTCTTTCATCTTCAGCTTCAGCTCCTCAGCCTCTTGCTCTGCTTTGGCGATGGCCTTGGCGTGAGATTCTGCTAACTGTCTTTGTTTTTCTAACTCGGCCTGCATCTCGGCCATCTTTTTCCGCTCTTCTTCCTTAAGCTTTTCTGTAGCTTTCTGTATTAGTGGGGGCAATAGTGAGGAAAATATAAGACAGGATTAAGCATTTAAGGTTAGATGTTATGTGTTTAGATTATACATACAGACACATGTAGGTACACAAGTGTAAATACATGAGTTATTAAAAGTTATTTTGACTACTTTCTAGGGAGTTACGGTGTTACGAGGTTACAATTGAAATCTACTTAATGTATGGCACACAGAATGAGACACAATCACTTCACATCACAATAAAACACTTGGAATACTGAATGGCATCATGCTATTGATGTACTACTTCACAGGATGGCTTAAAAATAACTACTAAGAAAACTTAAAATGATTCATAAATTTACCATTCTAGTCTCTCAAACTCTGAACATTGACTATGTTATATTATATGTACGTGTGAGTGCAGGTAAAGGTAAGAATCATTTTCGTCTTCATTTCATTGTTAAACTTATGATTCAGCATGAATTTATTTCCAGTTGGAAAAGTCACAGTGGAAAAGGAAAAAAGCCAAGCATAAGTACGAGAGACCGGAGCACAAACTAACATGGGGTAAAATGCAGATATTTTGTGTAGTTAGACAAGTTTTAGAAGAACATGCTTCTACTCATCATCTCTTTCCCATAACAATGCTAACTGAGAATCCTCACAAGTGTCGGACAGATATTTCTCTGGATTCACCCTGAAGACTGGTTTAAAAGTAACTTTTTTATCAGAAGCGTTTCTGTTTTTGTGGGTGTAAATCATAGAATTCACTCCTGTACATTTATTTTATTTCTAGGTTTCTGTAATAAAGCAGTTTGAGGCATGTAAATAACTCACACTGAAAGCTAACCAGGCTAAAATACAGCCTCCATTTGGCAGGGTTTGTTACAATTAACCTAATATAAAGTTAAAACAGTCAATTTAGTATATTATATATATATATATATATATATATATATATATATATATATATATATATATATATATATACACTAAATTGACTTAACTTTGACTGTTTTAAATCTTGTAATAAGGTATTTTGGGCTGATATTTGCTGTTCAAAGTTCATTTTTTCATTAATCATTTTTTTGAGGATATTTTTATGTATTAAGGTTGGAAACAATATAGAACTGTATTGAATTAGTTGTGTTTTACCAAACATTTTAGTGACTCATGACATCATGATGATCTCCATAGACAATTCACACCGCATCCACACTTTAAACAGACTCACTCTGATCTTACTGTAACTTCTATCTAGCCAACCTATACCTGCACACATAGATTGACATCTTGTACATCTTCTATCCAAATCTTGTAATCTAGAATATCTATACATCAATATTCTATCCCATGTGTACCCCACATCTCATTTATCTACCTCAGACTCACATATTGCACATATGGAAAAGTGTACAACTGTACATATCACAGCTTTTATTTCATAACTAATATTACTGCACAGAAACTGTTTATTGGAATGGTGCAACACTGGTGTATAGTAATGTGTATACTGTGTATATGTGTATATATTTAAACTGTTTAGATTTGACTGTTACAACTAGCCTCTCAGTTACAATTGACCCCGCCTATAGTATAAGTTGTCACTGCCACTTTCAGTTAAATCTGTAGCAGAGATGTTCAGGTTACTTGTATAAAACAACTTTAAATGTTGCTCAAATATTTTTAAAATTATTTCACAAAAGCTAAAATGCGTTAGGTTGTGCCCTGCTCTCCCATATGTGTAGCAGAAATGCAAATATATGTTTTAAAAAATCCAATTTTATGCCATTGCCAAGCCAAGGGATTAAAATAGTCTAGTGATGCAGCAAATAAAGCATGGGAATTGAACTGGTGTCAGGGCAAAATGCAGAACGCATGGAGAGTGTTTTAAAAAAATGCATCTGATGAATGTCATTGTGGTAAATGACTTTATCTGGATCGCAGAATCACGTAGCAGTTTCGTTGATATTGTGTAAACAATATGACAACATCAATGGGGCTTTTACGAAAAATCACAAATATAACTAGATCACTTTAAGAATTTGCCACATCAACTTAGTGGTACAAACAGGCATTAAAATATGATGAGAATGCATTGTGGTGGAAAATTTACCTCATTAGCGCCCAAACATGATAAACATTCATCATGATAAAGCACTGGCAAGCAGTATAGAGAAGCAAACAAACAGAAATGCAAGTTAGAAAGGAAAAGGGGGTAAAACCAAAATTGTGCTTCTCAGAAAAAATAAAGGAGAGTAATAGAGAAAGGGTGGCAGTCAGCCTGAAGCATCCTCTGACTGACAAATCAAGAGCCCAAGCAGCAAAGAATGAGAAAAAGAAGGTTATTTCACTTTACAGGGGTGCTATATTTGCTCAAGAAAGAAAATTCACAGAAAGAAAGGACACCATTCAGTGTTAAATGGTGTGCTGGTGTAAAAGTGCATGCTGTTTTTGACTGATGGTGTTCTGAGTTTGCTTCAGGCTGAGGGATTTCTACAATAACTCGAGTTTCTTCTTGTGACAGAGATACAGAAACTTCACCCCCCGCACAGTCAGTTCTACACAGATAATGAGAGACAGAAACTGTTGGGGAAATGGGATGTGCTGCACCACTAGCATTAAGCGTTACTCAAGACCTAGGTGAGCACCTTGTCCATCTAACAAGTGTCCAGTATGACAAGTGTCTTCTCATGATCAGTCAAAACACTCAGTCTACTGTTAATTCAGAATCCAACTGAAGTTGTGTCTCATGTAATTCACATTCGACTAAGACAAAATCTGCTCTCCATACATTCAACTGTTTTAGATACATGCTATGAAGTTTTCGGTTCGTGGCACAGTCGAGTCCCGCTAAACCGTCACACTTTCAACGCTTACCTCCTCATCCTCTAAGCGCCGCTGGGTATCCAGGATGAATTTTATATACTGGCTTGTCAGGGTCATCAGCTCACTGTAGCGAGTTCTGAGAGTGACATACTGCAAGATAGTACATAACTCATTTAATACAAGTTTAAAGTAAACATCGAATGAAAAACGTTTTTCAAAACTTCTGAATAATTAAATGGTTAAGATTCTCCGTTCTAGAAAAACAAAGAATTGTGGTGATAGGAACTGAATTGTGGCTTTAAATGTGTGAATCTATTCACAGTGTTGTGGTTCATCCAAGGCAGTATAACACAAAATATTCCCAAAAGAACACATTTTTCAGATTAACCACTATTTTCACATAATATATAAATATATCGCTGCTGTCAGAGCAAAACCTGGTATCTTAATTTTTGTCGTTTTTGGGGTTTTTGACAGAATTTGAAAATGCCTGTTGTCCTTTACATTGTGGGTGAATTTTATGATGAATGGACCAAAAGAAACGACCCAAAATGACTTGGAAAAAATTCTGGTTCCATTGACATTAAATGTAAAGTATGTTTTTTGCTTTTCCTGTAAAGTTATAATTTTTTGGAGATATGAGCGTTCCGACAGCAGCAATATATATATATATATATATATATATATATATATATATATATATATATATATATATATATATATATATATTGCAATGATATATGACAAACACAAGTAATGAACCACTCATAATTACAGATAACCAAAAGTTTTAAAAACACATTGTTGCTATTTAAGCGTAGAAAATACCTCTTGGATAATGTTGTCTGAAGCAGACTCCATTTTGGTTTTCTTCAGAGGTGAGGCGATGGGCTCCACCAGGGCTTTATATGTGACCAGCTGAAGTTCATAATCCTGTAAGGAAACATGGTAAAGGATGCTGCCAAAGCCCTAATATACTGTTTATCTGTGCATTTCTGTATAAAAATGGCTCAGATATCCATACATGCTTACCTTTACTGCATCAATATAGGCTTTAGCGTATCTCTGACACTCATCCACCTTGTCTTTGTTCTTCTCAATCTCCTCGAGGAGTTTCTGTTCAGCCATGGTCAGAAAACAAAGTTCAGCAACCTGAATTATGTTTATTAATAATACAATACAATAACAGAGTTTTTAATATAGCACAGTACTGTGTACGTCTAGGGTCAGCTGAGAATTAAATTTACAATTATCTGGAAAGTAAATGTTTTATTGCTTGAAAACATTGGAAAAAGTCCCAGTAAACACAAAATAGTGAATTTATGATTATCAGTTTTACTTTACTATTTCCAAAGCGCTCCTTGAGGAAGCCCAGTTACCATCCAATACCTAGTTTATCTAACCAGTTCTTCATTAAATTAAATCAGGCGATTGAACTGAAATCCATGTGATGGCTGGAGCGCAGCAAGACATGAAGAACCGTTTTCTACCTGTATTCTGCCACTGAACTTGAGGCTACTTTACTTACAAGGCATGAGAAGAAAATTAGCCTACTGCTTAGCTGTCAAGACTCACGGTCCAGTTAAGAACTGCTGGTTTACCTTAAGACTCACGTCTTCTGCCTTTGCTGCTGTCTCACCGTAATCAACTTAAATCTCACGGGTTCTAAAGTTTTACTAAGCGCTGCGCTGGGGCATCATAGAAATAGCCAGTACCGGACTCTGCTACATATTTGCAGTGCACTGTCCAGCAGTGTTAGCCAGTACTGTCTCATTAAATTAAAGAATGTTGATTTTGCGCTAGCATTTAAACAAACAACCAAACAAACAACCAGAAGCTAAATGGCCCTCTAAGATCAATTTGGGTTTAACCCCTTAAAATCCCAGTCTTATTACATACTAAGGCATATTATTATTTGGTAACTGCAGGGACTTCAGTGCTATTCTTAGCACATAGAAGTGTATAATAGAACTTTAGGCCTGCCGGTGGGCCCTGGCCAGTTAAGGGGTTCATTTGATTACATTCAGAAGACAAAATTAGGGGGAAATGTATTTTGTGTAGTCTGTAGGTGTTCTGTAAGGATCGCTGTGTCGCGGCTGTTTGAAATGAAAACACAGTGGAAAGCAGCCTGAATGCTCACACTCAGAACATCAGATGGGCTCGGTCAGCTGACTCTTTCGGCTCCTAAGCAGCTCTTCATTAATTAGCACTGACCGTTTTTCAAATTCCAAAATTAGTTAACTTTTCAAAGCTTAGCCAACGTCAGTGACTGTTAATCAATATGACATCATGCTATGTGTAACACATCAACGCAGCAAATACTCCACTTGTACATCCATCACTGAAGACCAGTGACCAGGGCCCCGTCCCCAATACTTGATACAGTACCTTCTCCTGGGTCAGCTGTTCTTTAAGGGCCTTGGTGTCACTGATCGGCACAGCCTGGATCTTCTCTTGCCTCTGCTTGGCGTCTGCAATCCAGCGGATGAGCCAGTCGTAGCTCTGCCTGTAGGCCTGCATCTGCTTGCCCAGCAGGTCCAGCTCGTGCTGTCGCAGCTCTAACTGCACGAACACAGCCTGCCAGCGCTCCTTAAGACTCGACACCAGCTGCCGATAGTGATCCAGCTCAGCGTCGCGTTCACTATGAACCCGAGACATGCGCTCATTCACTGACACGGCCTCTCCCAGCTCAGCCTCCAGGCGGTCAAACGCTGGCTGGTCACCTTCAGCCTCAGAGTGCAATTTCTGGTGTGGAGAGAAACGGGTAGTTTGTTAGTTTGAAATATGGGTAGTACTTTAGAATTAGACAACCCTTATAAGCTGTTTATTAATGGTTTAAAATGAGTTTATTAATGGTTATTAATTAGGTCATAAACACCTTAAAAATGATTAAAATTATTAGTAAACAGTTATAACACATTATTAAAGGGAGAAAGTAAGATAAGCAACCAGCAAGAATTGCGGTTTAACTACACACTTAAAATAATGGTTCTTTAAGGGTTCTTTAGTAAAGAAAATGGTTCTATATAGAACCATGAACACTCAAAGTACCCTTTGTATGATTGAAGGGTTCTTTGCATCGTGAAAGGGTTCTTCAGATTAATGGAGAATGTGCTGTAGATGGCTCTAGAACCTTTTTTGAAAAGGGTTGTATATAGCACCAAAAAGTGTTTTTCTATTACGATGTCAGGCTTGTTACAATAGAAGAACGCTTTTTGGTGCTATTTAGAACTGTTTTTAAAAGGTTTTATTGTCCATCAATGTGAAGAACCATTTCACGATGCGAAGAACCCTTTAATCATGTAAAGGGTTCTTGGAGTGTTCATGGTTCTATATAGAACCATTTTCTTTACTAAAGAACCCTTGAAGAACCATAATTTTTAAGTGTGTATATAAATGAATGCGGGTTCACTATTAGGCAAATAACATCAAAGTTGCCCTTTTTATTTGTGTGTTATAACTGCTTATTAATGCTTTTTAAGGTGTTTATGGCCTAAATAATAACCATTAATAAACTAATTTTAAACTGTTTATAAATGCTTTATAAGGGTAGTCTTATTCTAAAGTGGTACCGAAATATGATATTCATTATGATCCACTTTCTTACCATTTATAATCCTTACAAAATACTTATGTTCAAGTTTACATAATATTCTCCTTAGCCCAACTGTACAGTTGTATGCAAAAGATTGGGCACCACTGGACAAATGTTTTGAGTGAAAAAAATGCAAGCAAATCTGCAAATGTTTACAATTATTTTACATTTACACTGAACTTAAAAATAAAAATAAAAATTCATAAATCAGTAATTGTGTCTATCCACTCTTAATTTAAGAATTTGCACTAGCCTTTCTAGTTCTGTGATATTCTTGAGTTTTCTTGTTTGCACTGCATGTTTAAGATCTGTCTGCAGTTTTTTGATAATCTCATTCAAACCTTCAGCTTGTGTTTCTCGAAGTAGTTCATGGTGTTTGAGGCACGTTTTGAATCACCGTCCTGTAAACGCCTCTTTTCAGCTTCAGTTTCTTGACTGACTGTCACATTTGCTTCCAGAATTTACTGATATTTATTGCAATCCATTTATCCACCTGTCCATGCAACGTTTCTTGTGCCACTGGCCGCCACACAAACTCCAAAACATAACAGATTCTTTCCCATTTTGCCTTCCACAGTTCCCGTACCTGCCAGTGGAAACTGTGAGCTGGAAGCACTTTGATATCTTTTTATAGCCTTTCCATGCTTTGCATGGCCATGGTTGTTGAGCTTTAGAACAAGGTTTGAGAAGTCAGAGAATTTCTAATAACAGTTAATGACCTGCCTAATTAATCAATTAAGGCCAAATGATTTTTTTTTAAGTTCTGAAACTTTACAGCTGGACCTTACAAACTTTTTCCTATAAGTTAATCAAATAAAACATTTTGCATACCACTACAGTCAATCATTGCGCTTAGCACAATGCTAATTGATGAGTCATACACTTCCATTACTTGTTAGCTACATTAGCTTCATAGCCCTAATGCACAACCAAATGTCTTTGCTGACTGACTACAGTTGAGGTAAAGAGAAAACTGTGTAAATTTGCTTTTTTTGCTTTAGGAACAGAAGTTCAACACATGTTTTAAACTGAACCCAGACATAAAGATCTAAATAAGTATAATTTCCAGCAGTAAAGTAAAATGTCAGGACGCACCTTCAGCTGTGCTTGGCTGGCCTCCACCTCCTTCTCGTCTGCAGGAACTCTGTGAACATCACGCAGCTGGTTCTCATACTTCCTAAGTAGATCTTCAGCCCCTTGCGAGCTACGTATGACCAAGTCAATGGTCTTTAGCCTACATGGACAAAAACATTGCCATAGTGTGAGCTTTCACGCCGTTTGAAAACAGGAGCTGCTCTTTACATTGTGTAAATATTTTATGATGAATGGATCAATAAAAATAGTTCAAAACTGCTTCAAATAACATTTTGTAACATTAAAGTACATTAAAAGTAAAAGAGTGAATATTTGTTCCTGATATAACGACTGACTTGTCCAAGTAGACAGAGGACAGGCTGTAAACACGCTCCATCTTCTTCTGCGTGATGTCCAGCTCGGAGCGCAGGACAGGAGCGGAGCTGGACTGCTGAGAAGAGGCCAGTGCGGCCTCGCTCTGCTTCACCACCACATCCAGATCTTTCTTTATGCCGTCCAGCTCTGTCTGCATTTTCTGTTTGGAGAGAAGATAAAGATATAGAACTAATGTATCTAATGAACAGCAAACAGTTTTTTATGCAAACTAGACACAATGTTCCACACCTTCTGCTCAGTGGTCCTCTGAGCGCAGGCTTTCAGGGGCTCCTTGTCCACCGGCAGCCGGAGACGGCTGACCATGCGGGACTCGCAGGCCTCCAGCCTCAGCCTCAGGTCCTTAATCTGAGTGATGTAGCTCTTACATACGGATTCATCCTGCTCTCCTGTGTGGGGGAGATAATGTATGTTACGGTGGGTATACACGTTAGACCAGACAAAGAGACAATCCTGGATCGAATGAGCCAGGATGATCCCAGTGATGACCTCAAATCTGCTGACCAACAAAGAAATGAACATAGTTTGTAGGTCAAACAAAATAAAAACTCAACATGGCAAAATAAACCAAATGACCAGAAGAAGTCAGGGCCAAACAGGCCACAACATTAAAATTTGGCCTTTTTTTGGTGAGTCATTTGGTTATTTTTGCCACATTTAAAAATAGACTGACAATTGTATTTTGGCCAAAAAACATGCGTGCACACTTTCTTGAATACCATTAATAATAATTGATTGTAGGGCTGGCCTGAACAACCCTGTACATACCCATCGGTGTTTCTGAATGAGTACCCAAACATTTGATATGTATATATGTATATATATATATATATATATATGTGTGTGTGTGTGTGTGTGTGTGTGTGTGTGTGTGTGTTTCTCTGCATACTTTGTTACCCTGTTCTTCAATGGTCAGGACCCCCACAGGACCCCCACAGAGCAGGTACTATTTGGGTGGTGGATCATTCTCAGCACTGCAGTAACACTGACGTGGTGGTGGTGTGTTAGTGTGTGTTGTGCTGGTCAGACACAGCATTGGTGCTGGAGTTTTTAAACACTGTGTCCACTCACTGTCCACTCTATTAGACACTCCTACCTTGTCAGTCCACCTTGTAGATGTAAAGTCAGAGACGATAGCTCATCTGCTGCTGCACAGTTTGTGTTGGTCATCCTCTAGTCCTTCATCAGTGGTCACAGGATGCTGCCCACAGGACGCTGTTGGCTGGATATTTTTAGTTGGTGGACTATTCTCAGTCCAGCAGTGACACTGAGGTGTTTAAAAACTCCAGCAGCACTGCTGTGTCTGATCCACTCAGACCAGCACAACACACACTAACACACCACCACCAAGTCAGTGTTACTGCAGTGCTGAGAATGATCCACCACCCAAATAGTACCTGCTCTGTGAGGGTCCATGGGGGTCCTGACCACTGAAGAACAGGGTAAAAGGGGGCTAACAAAGTATGCAGAGAAACAGATGGACTACAGTCTGTAACTGTAGAACTACAGTGCTCCTGTATGGTAAGTGAAAGTAATAAAATGGACATTGAGTGTACTTAATGAAGTGGCTGGTTGATATAATTTTTTTAAATAAATCATAAATTTAAGAATTTTAACTACTGCACTTTAAAATATATCCAGAAGGCGTCAACAATGTATTTATAGTATAAACCAGCTGAAATCAGCTGAAGTGAGACGATGTGGATGCCTGGAGTGAATTGAGCTAAACCAGCTATAATTTATTTATTTTAAACATTTTCCATCCTTAAACAATAACAGTACCATCTAAGGGCTTTTATTGATGAAATGTGGGGTAGGCTATGTTTGTGGTGAAGCAAATATTAAACAGAGAAGTAATACAAACATAATAGGTATGCATACTTGATTATTCAAGGTATTCAGGTCAGCTCTAACTGACTGCAGTAGTTTCTAATATTCCAAAAAGTGGTGCCGCTGAATTGGCAACTTCAGATCGATACATCATATTGCACTGATGTATTTTCACACTCTGAAAAGATTTCAATCCATAAAGTGCTTTTTAAACTGTCTTGTGCAGTAATAATATAGTGGTAATTAGTTATCAGCAATATCTAAGTTAATATTAATTAGTTTTTTCACAGTGTGGAATGCAAGGCAACAGATAAATAGACTCTCATAATTATCAAATGATTCATGCATAACAAAGTGGAACAGCCTGTGAATCAAAGCAGTCCAGCTGTGCATTTCTTCACAATCATACGGCACTGTGTTAATACAGACAGTAATGGGTGGCAAGAGGATGAAAACATGGATGTGATGAGAATGATATGAATATGAAGTAAATGAAGATGAGTGTGATGACAGATGCAGTTAATTAATTTTCAAATCCAATCTCAAATCTTTACCGGCAGTACTGTCTCTGGAGATGATGACAGGTTCTGCAACATGAATTGTACAGTTATCGTTTGACGTGTGGATTAACGGCTATAACCAGGGGATCGGGTCATTTTGGTAGATGTTATATGATTTTTTGCTGTTTTTAGGACTGTACAAATCCAGATTCAATTCGCAATTAAGAGTAAATAAAATAAAGCCCCTGTTTATAGCACAGCGCTAATGTAGCCATACTGAAATATGGAAAGCCTGGTCGAACAGATTCTCCTCAAAGCATCTAATGAAAATAACAGGTGAGACGTTTTATACAACAGGCAATTACATTTTCTGTATAATACAGGAATGACATGGAGGAATGATGTTACCTATGCTGCAAATAACCACAGCCTCAGATCACAAATCTACTGTCAAAAGGTTTTACTGACAATAATGAACTAATAAAAAAAGTTTTGGGTAACACTTTCTATGAATGTCACCTTTGTAAGCATCTATAAACACATTTATAACATGTTATAATGTATTCAAGGCATTATAAACATGGTTATAAATATTCATAAAAAAGAATTACACTGGATTACACTTTATAGCCATGTTTATTATACATTATGAATTGTTACTATACTGCATTATAAATAATGTTAATAACATGTTATAATGTCAGTGCCAAAGAAGTCAGTCCCAGCTTGGAGAGCGTAAAGTAAAGACAAATACCAAGCTAACGGTGGTGTACATTACCTTTCCCACATTGGGTAAAACACTGATGGCAGCTCTAGTTTAAACTCTGACATTTGAAGCCTGTAATGAGCTTTACTGTGAATGTTTTAGTGTTTCAGTAAATCCTTCAGTAAATACTTCAACTTGAAGCCTCACTCTGAACACTGGAGGAGGCTTTAGTACAGTACACTTCACTTTACTTAGAGCGGACAAATACGACTTATGAGCTCTTATAACTTGTTATGATCAGTACTTATAATGTACTATGTTAACAATTCATAATGCATAATAAACAAGGCTATAATGTATAATGCAATTTTATAAATATTTATAGCTATGTTTATAATGTCTTATGAATGCATTATAACATGCTATGAATGCGTTTATAGATGCTTACAAAGGTGACATTCATAGAAAGTGTTACCAAGTTTTGTTATATTTTGATGTTTGTCCCTTTGTGCCAGATTTACAAAATATTTGCAGTGACACCTCAGTATTCTGCGTACACGAGAGCACCTACAGCTCACTTATCCAGGTCTTCTAAAGACAATTTTGTCTTTCTTCGTTTTACTTCGTTTTAGGATCTTTATATTGGCACCTCGGCAATTTAGATTAGCCAGTTTGCAAGTGACGGCAGGTCATAGTGATTAAGTCGCAAAACTGAGCCAGCTGCCCTTGCTAAACTACACTGCATGCACTGCAGGTTTTGTGCACCAACTGAATTGACTCCCGTGGGGTGGAACAGCCACGGCGGTTTGACCCTAAACCCACCTTGCTCCACGGAGCGCTGCAGGTTGTCGTAGTGCTGGGTGGCTTTGCTGTAAGCACTCTCCACCTGCATGCGGTCATCTGGGCCGAAGAGGTCCGAATCCTGGCTGTCGCGCATGAAGACCTGATAGTGCTGCTCCAGGTTCTTCAGAGCCTGGCGATACTCCTCCACCTTCAGAGTCTTGAACTGGGAGAATGGAGCACGGTAAGAGGAAAAAATCAGTCTCCTACTCTAGAATAGCGTGCAAAAGAATATTATGGACCTGGTTCTTAAATCTAGGTACTTCAGGCTAGCATATCTCTAGACTCTTCTTTTGTTTGTTTTTACATTTCACTTACTTTCCAGTGTAAATAAGTATATTCACAGTTCCGTGGCCAACCCAGTCGCTAACAGAGCACACAGCAAAAGTACTGCGTACAGGTGTTTTATTGTGTTTTCAAATTGCTGCTGATAAAAATCTAAAAATGGCCTCCTAAGCTGATGTTATTTCTCACTAGGACTTCAGAGGAGGGTTGAGGGTTATGATTTATAAATGGGCTGCTTAGTGGGTACTTAATACTCATGGGCTAGAGGTTAGCCTTGTGACCGGAAGGTCGTCAGATTGATCCCCTGAGCCGACAGTACGTGACTGAGGTGCCCTTGAGCAAGGCACTTAACCCCCAACTGCTCCCCGGGCGTTGTGGATAGGGCTGCCCACCGCTCCAGGCAAGTGTGCTCACTGCCCCCTAGTGTGTGTGTTCACTAGTGTGTGTATGTGGGTGTTTCACTGCACGGATGGGTTAAATGTGGAGGTCTAATTCCTCTGTGTGCAAACACAGTTGGCCAATGGTTCTGAGTTCTATTAATAATAAAGAGAACAGTGAATAAACGCTCTTTACCACGATGAAGTTCCAGGAGTTGATGTAGTGAATGTCCCTCATGAGGTACTGCCAGGACAGCAGACTCTTCATGTCCACATGCAGCTTCTGCCAGAGGATCATCAGCTTCTGCAGACTTGAGTCCAGACTAAAGTACGACAAGATCAGAACAGGCATGATCTTTCTCATTCACAGATACTGCTCAAACATAACAGTAGATTACCTGAGGCTGGGGCTTAACCCTTATAGGCTGCAGTTACTGCATCACCGGCACTAACAAAAGCATATAATGACTTGGTATGAGTTATTTCTCACTCCTAGATAAGTAAAACAAGGAGAAACACTTTGTGGAAAGAGCTGATTCTGACATTTTAATGCATGCTACATTTGTCTTTGCAAATATTTCATTATGATTTAATTTTAATGAAAATTCTTACATTTTTTGCCACATTTTTGTCACAAGTGGAGAAAGAGGACACCGAAGTAGAATACAGAATGTAAATTCAATGCTAATGTACTCTCTTGTCTAACTATGGAATTAAATATTACTACTACAACAACAACAAAAACCTCGGGTTCTAAGGGTTAATAACTAGTCATGCTGACCCAATAACTCTGATCATTGCTATTTATTAAAGATCTTAGCCTGGCCTTGCAGTCGCATGCAAAAGTTTGAACTCACTTGGTCAAATTACATGTTTTGTAGATTTTCTAAGTGAAAATAAGTGAACACATCCTGTACAGAGAATGCATTTAAAATGTAGCATGTCCTGCAAGTTTTAGTGTACTTTTTCTGTTTATTTGATGAATTTAACCTATTGGAAAAAATAAAACATAATATGTGCCATAACGTTTTCCACAGGCCACATTTTACATTTTACAATAAATCATAAACTCAGCAAATAAACAGTAATTGTGCATTAAAATGTGCAGAAGTGTGTTTTCTGTAGAGGATGTGTTCTTTTCACAACATTAACATGTAATTTGACCAGGGGCGCTCAAAATTTTGCACATGAATGTATGCCAGCAAAACGAGCAGAGCATGGTCAAATATAATAATATATAATAATTATAATAATATAATACATAACAATAAACAATGTAAATAAACTGCCCCATGATCCAGTGTAGTCAGTATGATTAAGAACAGACACAGTAAAACTCGTTACCCAGAAGTGCTCTCCACAGCTTCCTTGTTGGTGGGTGGGACGATGAAGCAGATTGACGGCACTGTCGCTTCACTACCACCGGAGCTCCTCACCTTCCACTTAAAGGGCTGGGAGTTGTTCAACAGCGTACATTCATCTCCCCTGTGCACTGTGATCTAGAGAAAACACATAATTTAAGGAATATTTTTAAGGAAGCAAAAAAGACAACATAACAGAGATCGCTGACATTATTTCAAGATCATGAATAATACTCTGAGTCTCATTAAAGACAACTTACAAGGAGTTTAAAAAAGCATTAAAACACAGATTGCCATGTTAAAGACATCACACTGGTTACAAATATTTACAAAGCTGAAGAACATATGCAATAAAAAATCAATCTGGTGTAAATCGTCTATCAATAAAGCATAAGGTGGAGAAACAGAGGCTTGGTCTGTGGGTCCTGCTGGAAACATTACATAAACTGCATTCAGTGGCTGGGGGCTCTAGGCGAAAGGTAGGAATGAGGCCCCTTACAGATGGACATTTGGAGACTCTGGACTCATGAGGGCCGCAACCATTTACACTACAAAAAATACTACTTTGGAAAGTGAAATAGTCTAAAACAGAGTTGATATTTTTACATAAATCCTTATTTTGAGATTGTTGGAAAAATAAGATTATTTGTACTTAAGTAATTTGATTAAGTGAGATTATCTCACTAGTTTGGCAGATCATTTTGCTTGTTTTAAGAAATAATTCTTGAAATAAGCTAAATTATCTGCCAATATAGAGAAACAATTTGGTACAGAGTAACACAGAAGTAAAGTTAGTTTGTGACCCCTTAGAATTTTCTACATTTCTGCATAAATTTGACCTCATTCATTAGATTTTCACACAAGTTCTAAAAACAGATCAAGAGAACCAAATTGAACAAACAAGACAAAAATATTAGACTTGGTCATTTATTTATTGAGGAAAATGATCCACATGTGGGGTCACACCAGATACTGAAAGCAAAGGTTCACAGACTTTTGCCACTTAAGCAATAGAACACAAGGGGGGAGTGTGTTGTCGCGAAATAACATCACCGCTGTGGTTTGGTCGCCGTAGATCATCACAGTCGTGATGTTATTTGTGATAACACACAACCTTGAGTGTTCTATTGCTTTTATACAGCAGTTAAATAAATAAAGTAATAAATTAATAAACTGGGCCGTGAACGCGGCGTTTAATATGTTTTAATGTTCGCAGTTCCTTCGCCAAATTATAGTTCCTTAACAAGCAGCTTGTTGCTACGTCAGAGTACTGAACTCCGCCCACTCGCTGCACAGTCTGCTGTAAGCCTCGCCTTTTGAAGTACAGACTGAGCCATAAAACTGCCGCAATATCAAGTTCAGCTCAGTTTTGTCAGTTTTTGCCAGATCAGTATTAATGTTGTTTTGTTCCAGCCAGTCTGTAAAGCATCTTACAGCCCATTTAGTTTGGCGAATGGTGTTGGGTTCATTTTTGGCTGATTCCAGGTTCTTCAGCTGTTCTTCTGTCACAGCTGCCGACTGAAAAGCTGCTCAGTGGTGATGACAGTTTGGGAATTTAGTGTCGTCTCATCTTCAGAGTCTGACCAAATCGGCTGTCGGTCGAATGTGATCTTAAAAGTGTCCGTTTTCTGTTTGTGGCAAAGTAAGAAGTAAAAACGTACAAATGGCTTGAGCGTCTCCTACAGCTGTCAAAGTCGTTGCTTAGCAACGGCATCTCAGCAGAGTGATACAGTGTTTGTGAAAAAAATGTGATGTTATGGTGAAATAACAGCACGGTTAGAACACTTCTCAACCAATTAGCTTGCTTAGCCGGAACTATTAGTTTATAATCACAGACATGTAATATTGGACCATTTCCTCAATAAATAAATGCCCAAGTCTCATGAATCTACTATTAGGACTTGTGTGAAAATCTGATGAAGTTTTAGGTCAAATTTATGCAGAAATATAGAAAATTCTCAAGGGTTCACAAACTTTTGAACACCACAGTAAGTGAAGTAATTCCATTACATTTTGAGAGACGTAATTAGGAATTTGTACTGGTCTTTCTATGAGTAATTAGCCCAACATTCGATCTGTATACTAACATTAACACTAGCATTAAGTATGGTCTGCTGAGCTGTGCAGCTCTCTGTTCTGACTGGAAACACAAAGTTAGCTTTCGAGGAACCTCCTCTCCTCGCTTAGCACAAAGACCACCCCTGGCTATGAATGCCTGATCACTCCATGTGACAATCATGCCTTTTATTCAATAAGCCATCTCTGTGACACTAGTCAGCAGCTTAGCACGAGGGGCTGATAAATGAGTTCTATGGCTGAGGACCATCAAATGCTTTTTGTAGCTTGTGCACAGTAATATCAGAGTAATAACCACTCAACAGAGTCTTCTTTCATACCTCCATTTGTTTGAAGTCACACACTGCCTGGACGGGCAGTTTGCCTTTGACGGGCGTTGCAGGGTTTCTGGGTTTCAGCTGGATGATTGTCTTTGCTCTCCTGTTCAGGCCATCCAGGTGAGTCTTAAACTCAGTGAGCTGCTCTTTCTCTTCCTGTGGGTAATAAAGAAGGTCACATGATCTTGTTTTGGTAAATGACTTTATTTTAACTATGGAAATCAATCAACTGTCAACAGAGTCTAGGACCTTCATAACGGAACAGAATATTTTGTTAACTATTAAGACGTCAATGTAGGGGTGTTAAACTGCAGGTGGTGATGTAACTGAGTTTGAAATGCTGAAATGTATTTTAATTATAATTATATTCAATAAAGTATGCACGCATAAATTGGTGTATGAACAAAGCAAAAATATGGGTAACACTTTATTTGGATGGTCCACTGTAGATGCTTTGTAAATGCTCAGTCTGCCTATAAGAAACGTTCAACTGATTTTCTATTAAACGCAATTGAACTTCAAGTTCAGTGTGAAAGAGTTTATTAAATCTAACCTTAACCTTAACCTCAAGGCAAAACCTACATCTACTCCTAACCCTAACCTTAACCATCACGTTGTTGATAATCAACTGAACATCACCAGAAGGTTTGTTGATAATTTAAGTATCTGTAGAGCATCTATAGAGGACCATCCAAATGAAGTGTGACCAAAAATAAGGAGCACCTGAATATTTGCTATTATTAATATGTGTTTAAACGTTAATGTTTGTATCAGCTGCATAGCGTTCATGCATGCACACTAGGGGCTTAACAATGTACGTTTCACAAACCCTAAAATTTATTATGAAAATAATGCAATTTATAATTTCAAACCACAGTTTCATACTTGACTTTTAGTTGCAAACTGAAATTGGTACACTTTTAGTGCTCTTAGTACATTAACGGATAAGATATTTTCCTGAGTTATTAGATTGTAAAGAAAGTTTGGTAACAGTTTCTATGACTGCCACCTTTGTAAGCATCTATAAACACATTCATAACATGTTATAATGCATTCATAAGACATTATAAACATGGGTATAAATATTTATAAAAATGCATTACACGTTATAGCCATGCTTATTATGCATTATGAATTTTTAACATAATACATTATAAGTACTGATCATAACAAATCACAAGAGCTCATAAGTGGTATTTGTCCGCTCTAAGTAAAGTGAAGCGTACTGTACTAAAGCCTCCTCCAGTGTTCAGAGTGAGGCTTCAAGTTGAAGTATTTACTGAAGGATTTACTGAAACACTAAAACATTCACAGTAAAGCTCATTACAGGCTTCAAACGTCAGAGTTTAAACTAGAGCTGCCATCAGTGTTTTACCCAGTGTGGGAAAGGTAATGTACACCACCGTTAGCTTGGTATTTGTCTTTACTTCACGCTCTCCAAGCTGGGACTGACTTCTTTGGCACTGACATTATAACATGTTATTAACACTATTTATAATGCATTATATTAACAATTCATAATGTATAATAAACATGGCTATAAAGTGTAATTCAGTGTAATTCACTTTTATAAAATGTTTATAATCAAGTTTATAATGCTGTATGAAGGCATTATAACATGTTATAAATGTGTTTATAGATGCTTACAAACGTGACATTCATAGGAAGTGTTACCGAAAGTTCTTTACAAACCCATAATTTAGGTCACATATTAGCTGAGTACTCACCACAGCGTCCTGCAGAAGGTCCTCCAGACGAGTGACCGTGATGGAGCGGTCACAAATGTACTTCTTCTTCATCGCCTCCTGCATCTTCTTCATCCTCTCCTCCGCCTCTTTCACGTCTGAAAAGAACTGTTGGACAGAGAACACCACTTAGAGCGCAGACTTTAGTTTTAGCTTTATAGTTTTGACAGCACAGGGTGGAAATTCGAATTCTGCATTAATATTAATGAGCTCTGTGCTAAGATACCTGGAAGTAGGCGGTGTTCTCTTTGAGATGGGTCTCAATACAGCAGCACAGCTGCAGCATCCAGCTCCACTGCGTCTGCAGAGCTGCCATGAAGGCCTACAGAGGGAACAGAAAGAGTGTAAAAGATTAGCCGATGATGGAACAGCATGGCGGACACACCTCTCAAAACAGTCAATGATGTTTTTGTTAAACTAGCATTAAAATAAAATATAAAAAAAAGTATGATAACCAAATACTGCTTTCTTGACTATCATAGATTAATACTGATCTTTAGCACTACTGGATCCCTCATGGCATATATGCCTTGAAAGATCTTTTATTTTGATTATTTTATTTTTTTTATTTTATTATTATTTAATTATTTTATTATTTTTATATATTTTATTATGTTTTATTATTTTGCACTTCTAGCTCCTGTTGAACCACAAGGTAAATCACAAGTAAATGTAATTCATTATGTAATAAACTATGTAATTGTTCATTTAATTACATGTGCAATTTAAGTTACATAAATTTTATCACAGTCCCAGTAATCATGGTGTGTAATTTAGCATTAATTATTTCTTGACTTGTAGCTCATAGAATTAAGCCGAGAAAATATGTGGAAGGTGCAGATTCTAAACTTTCAATCTGTACTACATTTGTGTTTGTAAGTAAAAGAGCAGATATTTTATTAAGTTTCAAATTTGATGAGAAATTATTCTGGTGTGTTCAGTCTGGTTCTGTAAACGTACTTCACATTTTTGGCATTTTTTTGGTCATTTCTTCACATTGAAACAAACAGAAAGAGGTATGAAGCGCAGACCTGAATGTTGACACAGAATATATATTAAATGCAAAATTAATTGCACAACTCACTATGCAACAAATTACATCGTCAACAGAAACGCTCCAAAATCACTTGGAATAAAACCTTGTTTTTGCCTTCTCCTGTACCAAGTTACCTTTTTGGAGATAAATGTTTTTCGTTGGACTGTGACAATATAATTACATAATTATACTTACTTAGTATAGCAAAACAAAAACACTACATCTAAGGACTGTGAAGACCTGCATGTGGGCCACACTTCAGTTCCTCACTCACATAACTGCATAACTTACTTATTGCTCTCATAAAAGTCACTGAATAGTTTAGAGAAGTTACTGAATGAAAAGTGTTAAGATAAATATAATAATAATAATAATAATAATAATAATAATAATGCTTGCAGTTTAGAGGGTTAAATAGGTTTGCTTTCATTTCTAGATTCCTGGGTTCCACCTATTGACTTGCCTCCACTGTGCTCCTGGCTGGATGGCCTTCCTTTAGCAGCTTGTCTCCGGTGGCTTGCACACTGTTCACTTTCTTCTCGCGCTGTTCCAGTTCTCGCATCAAACCCTGTCACATGACACTTTTAGACTCCCACATCCGGTTCACTTTGATTATCACCATCATATATTATTATTACAACTGATTCTATAATTACAGAAATCGATCGGAAAACTAATTCAGTGGGCTACATTATTGGTAACAGAATTCCAGAGGAACTGGCCCTACCGAGTAGTTATCCTTCTTAGCAGTCATGTTGGTGTTGCGGTCACTCCAGTCATAGTTCACCTCCTCCTCCTCTTTCTCATTCAGCCACATCAGCTCTTTAGTGGCAGCTACGACAAACGCATGCAGCTGCGTCAGACTGCGCAGACGGGCTTTGGAGGAGTTCTGGCAGAGAAAGAAAGAGAGAACAATAAAGGTTGGAGCAGAAGCAGCTTGCCCTGTCCTTCTACCAAATTAGATACATGTAAATTTATCCCTACAACAATTAAATGTAAAATTGTCTGAACATGCGCCTGAAAACGTACCAGCAGTTTGCCGTACTGCAAGTCCAGCTTGCCCAGGTAGTCTCTGTACGCTCCTTTACTGGCAGGGGTTAACTGATTCTGAGAGGACAACAAAAAGAAACAATGTCATTAATCAATCTGAAGGTGACGATGCAACTGTATCAATTACAGAATGTTGGTATTATATAAGCAAGAGAACACAGAGGGAGTGTGTTGTCGCGAAATAACATCACCGCTGTGATTTGGTCGCTGTAGATCATCACAGCTGTGATGTTATTGGTGATAACACACTCCTCGAGTGTTCTATTGATTTTATACAACAGTTAAATAAATAAAGTAATAAATTAATAAACTGGGCCGTGAACGCGGCGTTTAATATGGTTTAATGTTCGCAGTTCCTTCACCAAATTATAGTTCCTTAACAAGCAGCTTGTTGCTACGTCAGAGTAACGAGCTCCGCCCACTCGCTGCACAGCCAGCAGTTCGTTCTCCAGCTCCTTACACTAAATTCCCAAACTGTCATCACCACTGAGCAGCTTTTTTGTTTTTTATTGCGGCAGTTTTATGGCTCAGTCTGATTTGGTCAGACTCTGAAGATCAGACTACACATTTGGCGAATGGTGTTGGGTTAATTTCTGGCTGATTCCAGGTTGTTTAGCTGTTCTTCTGTCACAGCTGCCGACTGAAAAGCTGCTCAGTGGTGAAGACAGTTTGGGAATTTAGCGTCGTCTCATCTTCAGAGTCTGACCAAATCGGCTGTCGGTCGAATGTGATCTTAAAAGTGTCCATTTTCTGTTTGTGGCAAAGTAAGAAGTAAAAACGTTCAAATGGCTTGAGCGTCTCCTACAGCTGTCAAAGTCGTCTCAGCGGAGCGATACAGTGTTTGTGAAAACCTGTGATGTTATGAAAATATCAGCACAGTTAGAACGATTCTCAACCAATCAGCTTGTGTGGCCGGAACTACCTGTTGTATAATAACACAATATTATGTAATTCTTTAGCTATTTTAAAATATTAAAACATCATTTTCAAATTAGTGTACTATTTTTAATGTCTGCATTCCACTACTCTGTAAATGCAGACAGTAAGTAACATTTGCATATTCACTCTGTTGTATTTTTTAAAAATAGATCTGAAACGTATCAAAGTATACAAATAAGGTGAATCAGTTACACTTTCTTTTACAGTCCCTTAGGTCACAGGTAAACCAAGGAGGTACAAACTCCAAAGTACTGGCTACTTTTTTAGGTAACATGAAAGTTCCAAGACACTCTAATTAAATTATACTGAAATGTCTAACACGTTCTAGATATTAACTGTGTGTATCTGTTGCATACTCTGTAGCATTAGGTAATTATTTTGGGTAAAATCAGGGTAAGTACCCAGATAGTCTAACTAAATTACACTGACACCCACTTTCCAAGTATTAAGCACACAACGGAACTGTTAAAACTGGTAGGGATGCACTGATACCACTTTTCCCCTTCTGATATTGATACCTGATCCTCAAGTATCAGCTGATACGATACTAACATTAACCTAACTACTTGATGGGTGCCTCTAAACCCTCATATTTATTCAATTATTTCATTTATTTAAATGGAATATTTTATTTTGGTTAAAGCCATTTTCTGTGTCACAAACTAAACATACTAAACGTGAATGAATGGCATTTACTGGTTTGGATAAACACATCTGAATCATTTCAGGGCTGTTAAATGTTGCTGTTCTTTGGCGCAGTTTATCATTAAATGCTTAATTAAAACTGATGTACTGAAATCCTTGCTGGACTGCATTACTGACATTACAGACTTTGCTATGAGAACTTTTACTACTGCTTTTCTGAAACATGAACTAATCCCACACCATCAACATGGTGTTTGCTTCAGTTAAGCTCTACTGCAAATTGCTTAATGGTACGGTACTCTCTATTGCCGATACCAATACACTGTGTCAGTGTCAGTATGTGTGCTGATACTGATATGGTATTGGGGCAACACTAATAATCAGATCATTATTTAGGGTAAGTGGCACAAATATTCACTAAATTTTACCGTAATCAATTGGAAAACCTCTTAAGTAAACTCAGTAAAACTACAGTTAGAATAACTGCATTTATAGGTAATTAATAAGCATATACTATATAAGACTCTTATGTCATTTGCCTTTATATCCCATGTAGCCAGCCTGGAAGAAGAAATGTTTCTTTTTTTTGTTTTATTGCTTCAACATCTGCTATAACAGTGGAACTCATTTAGACTGTCCAGTTACTTGCTATTATTTAGCCCAAATAATTACCTAGGATTTTGTAGTTTGTACATCATAAATAGGCAATTAAAATTTAGAATCTGTTGGGTGTTTTGGTGTAATTTAGCTAAACTTACCATCTTTTCACCCTAAAGTATTACCTAGTACTTTGGAGTTTGTATCCCACACTTACCTGGTTAATACCTAGAACTTAAGGGATTATAAAAGAAAATGTTATGGGGAAATTTGAGATTTCATGATGCACTGATTTTTTATTTTTTTTTTACAGAATAATAATTGAGTCATTTTGTGGTCATAGAGATGTTGTCTTCCAAATTAAATGATGTCCAGGTACAATGAAGATCCTAAACGTTCCATAAATTTGCTACAGTAAACTCACTACACCACCCTGAAACCAAATCAACAAATGCCGTTACCTCATCAGCCCTTGCACGGTCAATCTTGGACTTGAAGTCCTCTATGGACTGGTGCAGGCCGCGGTGGCTGCCAAGGTGGGACTCGACGGCAGGCAGGTCCGCGCCCCATTCCGAGCTGTCGATGCGCCGCTGGTTCTCCTCCACCCAGGCCAGCAGGTCCTGGATGTACCGGAGCGTGACCTCGTCCAGCTCGGGCCGCACGCGCTGCGGGGACTGCTGCAGGGTCTGCGTCATGGACATCTGTGTCAGGGGCACCTGGGACACGGTCACTCCTGATTTCAGACGGAGGTTGTACTCACTGCGCAGGTTCACCAAACGCTCATGGAGACGGTAAACCCTAAGAGGAAATACAGAGCGAGTAATCCATCAGCACAAAGGCTACGTCAGCTTTGAAATGCACTCTTTGGTGATATACACTGTTAGAAATAAAGGTTCTGTGCAGGTACATTCTTAGTTAATCAAGGTACAAACAACGTAAATGTTCCTTCAAAGGTACAACAGTAATTTTAATGTCCGATTGTGAACCTTAAATAAGTTTTTAAACTTACAAAAATGCACTTTTCACCTTATTTATCTTTTCATAACATTATGAAAAAAAAAATCTGTATTTCTACAGCCCTCATCTTGTCCTCGTGAGTATAGTGGACAGTATCTCCGCCTGTTACGCGGAAGACCAGGGTTTGATTCCCCGACAGGGAGAGCACTGGCTTTATGGGGGCAGTCGTGGGCTGGAGGTTAGGGAACCAGCCCCGTGACCGGAAGGTTGCCGGTTCGATCCATGACTGAAGTGCCCTTGAGCAACGCACCTAACCTCCAACTGCTCCCCGGGCACTGTGGATAGGGCCGCCTGCCGCTCCGGACAAGTGTTCTCACTGCCCCCTAGTGTGTGTTCACTAGTGTGCATGTATGTGGGTGTTTCACTGCACGGATGGGTTAAATGTGGAGGTCTAATTCCACAGTGTGCAAAACACAGTTGGCTGACGGTTCTGAATTCAATTCAATAATGTTTTAAAACAGAACAGTAAAATAAAGTCCTGGAGACGAGACGGGGTGTGTGGAGTCAGTACAGCTTAGAACATATCATTTCAGCAGATTATGGTTCAGTTATGTTCCCTGACTAAAGGTACTGAGATGGGTCCCACCCCAGTGACAAGAGGGAACTGCCCCAGTGACAGTTTACAACCTTTATTTCTGAGGGTGTAGAAGCACTGACCAATAGAATGGGATTTTCTGGAGCAGCCGCATATGAGGTCACCATACCCAGTGCTCAGCGTGGGCTAGAGCACCTTACAAAACACCCCGGCATTGCGCTGTGGAGCAGAGGAACTGCGCTCTCTGGTGTGATGGACCTTCACCACTACCTTTGGGAAGAGTTGGAGTGATCCAGAACTGATCATCCAACATCAGTACCTGACCCCACTAATGCTCTTGTGGCTAAATGCAATCAAATCCTCACAGCAAATGTTCCAACATCTAGTGTAAAGCCTTCCCAGAAAAGTAGAGGCTGTTACTGCAGCAAACAGGGTCAAACGCCTTCATTTCAGAAGAAACCTTGGATGAGCAGGGGTCTACAAACTTGTGAACATGTGACGTATATGCACTTCAAAAGTTTGGTGACACCTAGATTTCAACATGATATAAACGATCATGTTTTCTTGCTGGTTTGCAATAACTTACCCCTTAATAAATGGAAGACTGTTCAGAACTAGTCATTTAACTTTTTCTTACCTAATTGAAAAGTAACAGACTCAAAAACTTTATTTAGCACTTATAATGATGCACAAAGGTACTGTTTTTAAAGGGAAATTGCACCATTTTTCACATTTTTCAAAATTTCTGCATAATTCAGTCTCTAAGATGTTGGTCATTCAGAGTAACTTGATGTGGAATATTCCAGTCAAGAGAAACCTGCTGAGTCAGAATTGTTCACAATGGAGGTGACAGGAATGAAATGATTACAAATACAAAAAAAAGCAGATTTTAAACTTAAATAACTGGGTTAAACTGAAATGTTGAGTTCTTTAAACTTGTAAAATTAACAGAAGAATATTTTATATTTTACATTTGTTAACTTACTATTCGAAGTTCTATGAACATTTCAAGTTAACTTTGTTACTTTTTTAGGTTTTAAAGCTGCATATTTTTACAGAGTACATTACCTGATGCTGTGACACTGTTTGGCGACAATTTTGAGATTGTTTTGGCCTAAAACATATTTTTGAAACCCAAGCTGACTGGAGAGGTACATGTGGGTTAAAAAAATCTGGACTTTCTACTATTTTGCCATCATCAACACCTAACGTAAAAGGTAAATGTAAGTGGAATAGCTTGATTTGCATAGACATTAAGACCCCTGAGTTTGTTGTTCCTCAACAATTAAATATTTCACATCAAACCATGATGATTAATTTTGTGTACATCTCAATGATTTAATTAAGTAAAAATTTTGAAAAATTGGTGGAATTCCCCTTTAAGTTGTTAATACGCACATTAATGCTGTCTGTGAGGCAGAGCATTTAAGTTTCATCCTCTTGTTCAATCTCTACTCACCGTCTGTACATCTGTTCTGCCTGTAGGTGGCGCCCGTCCTTCAGCAGCTGCACATCGTTGAAGAGGAAGCGGATCATGCTCTCGGCCTTGTCCAGGTCTGCCTCGATCTCTGCTGCGTGCTGGACGGGCTTTCCTGCTCCCAGCGAGCGCACGTCCTGTCAGGAACATTGACAACAAATAATATCATAATTACTGATCAATTACTGATTCAATCGTGTGGTACATTGTAAGTGTTAGCAAAACGTAATATCATACAATGCTGTTGGGTCTTTGTGAGCTGTTTTGTTGTGAGTATATAATCTTAAGTGTCTCACCGTCTGTAGCAGCGTCTCCACCTGGTTCAGCTGCTCCTCACACACGCCTGACTCCATCTGCACTTTACTGACCGTCCTCTGCAGCCTCTCCAACCTGCACACATCACAAACAGCAATCACAACTCACTTCTCTTCATAATTCACAGACATCAAGGTCATTTAAGATGTCCAGAAGTCTAAACAAATCACAGGATGTCCAATTTAGCCTTCAGGCCAGTCATTAATGCTAGACTATCTTCTCTAGTTTGACTGGTTCTCATTTTATTGTGTGTTTCGTTGTCGTTAAGAGGTTTTTTTGAGTGTAGTGTTTGTGCAAAACTATAACTGCATATGAAATTGTCCCTTGGGACGTCTTCTTGACTGACAAAATGTGGGTGCCTGATAAACAGACCCCAGGTGAAAATCCCAGGTGACTCAATAAATGAGAAAGTGAGGCAGAACATAGTATTTGAAAAAAAATACTAATCCTTAACCACTTAATTCACAGTAGTTACTGAATAATTCATAGTAATTACTATAGTGCATAATGGCTACTGATTAATTCATAGAAGATACTGAATAATTCATAGTAGTTACTGAATAATTCATAGTAATTACTATAGTGCATAATGGCTACTGATTAATTCATAGAAGATACTGAATAATTCATAGTAGTTACTGAATAATTCATAGTAATTACTATAGTGCATAATCGCTGCTGATTAATTCATAGAATATACTGAATAGTTCAAAGTAGTCATTCAATAATTCATAGTAGTTGATGAATATTTCATAGCAATTACTGAATGATCCATTTTGGTTGCTGAGTAATTCATGGTAGTTACTGAATAATGCATAGTAGTTACGGAAAAATGTATGGTCGTTACTGAATAATGCACGTAGTTTATGAATAAGTCCTAGTAGTTTATGAATAATTCATAGTAGCTTATGAATAATACATAATAGTTTATGGTTAATTAATAGTGATGAGTGAATTATTCATAGTAGTTAGTGAGTAATTCATAATAATTGATAACTAATTCACAGTAGTAGTAATTAATTATAGTAGTAACTGAAAAATGCATAAAAGTTACTGGATAATTTGTAGTAGATACTGAATAATTTACAGTAATTGCTGAGCAAAGCAGATACTGAAAAAAAATCACAGTATGTTCTGACCATTTTATAGTAGTTACTGAAAACTTTGAAGCGGTTACTGAATAATACTCAATAATAAGCCTTCAGATTAATAGCTGAACAATAAGCCTGCAGGTTAGAGGGTTAATAGTTAATCCATCTAAGGGAAACGGTCAGAACACAATTCAATATTTCAATATAATGCTGATAATTGATAACAATAAATATGTTTAAATAAAAAAACGTTTTAAAATACTGAAATTGAGTATTAACTGCACCGTTGCAGTATGGTTAATCCACCAAAGTGTACCACAGTGCAGGTTTTACGGAACATAAACCCAGAACCAAGTCCACATCAACAACTATACAACAACCACAGCAAATCAATAAACTGGACCACTCACGCCCTCTTCTGGCCAAGCAGATATTCCAGTCCATGAGTGTAGTTCAGAAATGCCATGGCTAAGTCTTGGAGATACTCCACAGCACAGCTTAACAGCTAATTCTCTCTCTCAGTCTCTGACCACTACACTGGCTCCTTTCTCAGCAGCAGAAGACAGACGGTCTTGTGACAAAAGGCCAGCCCTTCCAAAAAAAAGTGCCGCCCAAACCATTTCTAATTTATCAAATGACCTTAAACAACGTATCTAATATACAGAAAAACAGATTTTCAACCAAAGCCTTTCTGCCATTTTAGAGACTCACACAAAAATCACATTAAGAGACTTAAGTAAATAAGAAAAGGACACAAACAAAATACAATCACATTCCCAGTTTTACAATTAATGAAGAATCCAGCCTGTAAAAGAACAGAGATGGACTCATATCAGATAATCGTCAAGGCTGTCCAGCAACCAGTGCTATGTGTACCGAATCGGTCAACCATCTCCTGAAGTCAAACGTTCAAACACTGGCATTGCTTTGACAACTGATAACATACCTGACAATCTTTTGTGCAAATCTTCACATGCATGAATGTGTTTTTCCCTCTCAGTGTTTTTATCAGCCATTCTACCGTTTATTGCTTTGATCCACGTGGTTCTGTGTAACGAGCTTCGCTTTGTGTCAAAGGCTGAGGTTAATCTAAAATCTGTGTCCCAATATGACTTCGTTTGGTTTCATTCGCTCTGTGAGCAGGAGTCAACAGACTGACCGTTCAAACTCTGTTCTGAGCAGACGCTCTCGCTCCAGTATGGCCACATGCAGGCGACCCCACTCCTTCTCCACGTCGATGGGGTGGTAGCCAGGAGGCACCTTGACCTGACCAGCCTGCACTGCACCCTGTGGAGAAAGAATACAAATTATAGATAATAGAAGAATACTTAGAATATTAGTTTGTTCTAAATTATAATGTATACAATTTTGGTCATTCAAATAGAAGAAATATTGCTCCCACTTTATATTAAGTGTCTCTAATAACTGTGTAGCTACACATTAACAATACCTGCCATTACAATGTAACTACTACTGATGCGTTCACTGTTACAGATGGACTACAGTAGTACAGTTTATGTAAATAAACATGTGAATTTCAGTTATCACTCAATCTTAAACTGAATGAAAAAAATGAGTTGCACTAAGTACATAAGCTGTATTAATACATTCATCTGCAACAGTGAACACAACAATAGTAGTAACATTGTTGTTGCGTGTGTTGTTAATGTGTGAGTACACAGTTATTAGAAACACAATATAAAGTTGGACTGAAATATTTACATTTATAATTGTTTTTTTTTTACTAAAATGTACTATTGGAATATAGACTGTTATATTGAATTAGTTTAAACTGTGGTCGCACATTAAAAAATGATTTAAAAAACAGTGAAATATTCAGACCTTAGATATTTACAAGGATGATGTTATGAACTATTAAACCCAAGATAAGTGCCTTATTGCTGTACTTTTCCATGCATAAAAACTCTGATTTATCCTTAGATAAATTACTTTGACTTATTCTCAGAGTGCTTTATCATACAAATGCCTGAACTGTTAGTAAGCCAGCTGGTAAATCATATTTGATTGTAGACAGTGTCAGTGTTAGTGTTAGGATCAGTGCTAGGGTTAGATTTAAGTTCTGGGAATGAAGTTAAGATAAGACTGTTTTCGGTTTAGTTTGCATATATTTACAAGTTTAAAACAAACTGAGCATCTACAAGGTATCTACAGTGGATCATGTATGTATGTATGCATGTGTCATTGGCAGTGTGCTACACATCACTTACCTCAAAAGCCTTGTAAATAAGTTTGGAGCGATTTTTGTCAGCCTCCTTTGCTGGCAGCTCTGTCTCCTTAAATTTGAGGAACTGGCGCCACAGAACCTGAAACAGACATAAAGCAATCCAAATGCACGAGTCAGGGCGGTGTTGGCTGCGCTATGTTTTTATGAAAGATGCTGGCAGTAAGCTATTCATATGACTGTTTATTGCAAAATATTGGGCTGTGTTGATAAATGCTTCTGTCCTGCTGATTCTCCTGTAGAGATTTATTGCGGGTGTAATCAGAGCCACCTGGCTCCCCCTATTTAGATGTTTCTGAAAGTTCATCACCTCAATCGGGTGTTACATGTAAATGACAATAAACATGTGTTGTGTTGGTTTTTGGTGTTATGTTTCTGAAACCCCCTGATAGCAAGAGGATAGTGGACCACTGTCGGCCTGCTAATGACAAAGCTGGTGGACCACTGGCGTTTTGCTCAGCATTTTCCGGGTGGCCCACCGGCAATTAAGCAGAGTAATAGACAAAATTCCACTTATCATCACTCATTTTTCCCTCGCTTACTGATTTTTCCTTCCTTCCTTTCTTTAGTTATACTTTGTATAGTTAGTTTAGTAAATCATTTTCATCTGGCACAGAGTCAGCAATAACATTTTCTATAAAATCATTTTATATCAGGTCTAGTCATTATTTTTTTTCTCTCAGTTGTTTGTAATGTTTGTCTAAGTTTATTTTCTAAAATAAAAGTCTCCAGGCATTTAAAACCTGTTTGAGGAGATTAAAAACTAGTTAGAGCTTGTCTGCAGGACAGTAATCTGGGTGATCCGAATGTGGACCAGCAGTGGCAAACAGTCAGCGGGGTGCAGACCTTATTAAGCCAGTGGACCGATATACGCTTGCTATCTGGGTCACTGCTTGTTTTTTAATTTCTGGTCTGTAGAGTGTACATAAACAGCATATGTACTTTCAGTGTACATGTCATGGGCACTCAGGTCATACAGCGGCTTACATGGTGAAACTAACATGCAACTAGGTTTTTGAACCGTTTCAAAAACAAAGCATGCAAGACATTTTTTTGATTCATTTTATCGTTCTTGCTATATAAAGTCATACATCAGGTGTTATTTACATTCACATTATGCAGCATCTCTGTATAATTTTCCACCTGTCACTGACATTCTTTTATACAATATATATGTAATTACATATACATATGTAGAGTCCTGGAAGGTGGGGAAGACATGGCCATGCAGAGAGGCCAAGTACACAGGCTCATAAGAGGTGCTTATCCTGGTAGGAGAGATTTTAAATATTGTAAATAAGTTCGTGTTGTTAGCTTAAAGATGCACACATCTGTTTTTTTGTGTGTAAGTGTGTTGGGCTGTGGGGTAATTGGTGCGTTGCTAGTGCCTACCATCAGGTGAAAGCGTATGGCTAGAAGTGGCCTGCCTGCTATCTTGGCCATTTCAGCAGCACTGAGCGGCGGTTCTCACTTGCTGTCTGTTCAATAAAGGAGCATTCACTTAAAGTGCTAAAGGTTCCCGTGTCTTATTCTATGCCAAAGCCACACTGGTGTCAGAAGTGGGATAGAGAAGACTGACACTGGGATGGCTGACTTTTGAAGGAATAGCTATAGCATCCCACTAGTGGGAGGCCTGAACAACCAGAAGCCTTTCCCTCTTTTGGATCTTAAAGAAATCAGAGCTCGGTGTCAACGTCAAGAAAAGAAAAGGTGACTCTGAAGAAGAATAAATGGTAGCATTCACTGGCTAGTAACAACAGCTGTTTACAGAAACATCAGCTTCGAGAAACTCATGTTTGTTGTCATGGCTCAGGAAACATGAAACTTTCACAAAGATGAGTCGGTTGTAACTTCAAGTGAGTTTCAAGTGAGTTGCAGAAAGCTTTAAATTATGCAACTCAAGTGCAATTTAGTTCCATGAGAGTTTCAAGCGACTACGTTGTATGAAAGTTTCATGTAAAGCCAGCCTAAGAGACTAACCTCGATCTCCTCATAGCTGGTGGGGAACTTCCTCTCCTCAAACACAATGACATGGTGTCTGATCCACTGCAGCAGCATGGTGACCAGCTCGTAGTACTCCTGCCAGCGAAGCTCCAGCTCCTGTTGAACAACACAAAGAGCTGCTCATCCACTCAGTTCACATTACACCTTAGAATCGTTTCCTGAATTTTAACTGGCTGGACCTGCTCTTTAAAACCGTTATAAATAATTTGTAAAATGATTACGAAATCATCTAAAGGGCCCATATTCTGCAATTTTCTTGTATTTTATTCTTTTTCTCTGAGTTCTACTTATGATATTTGTGTGATATTAAGGACCAAAAATGGCCATAATTCCAATAATTTTCCAATGTCTCTTTATGCCTTAGAACAGGGGTGCTCTGGTCCTGGAGGGCCAATATCCATCAGTTTGGTGGTTCCTCTGCTCAAACACAAAACCTTGCAATTAAGAGATGATTGTAATTAGTTGTGCTTGAGCAGGTAAATTATCAAACTGTGCCCTCCAGGCCTGGAGTTGTGCACCCTGCCTTAGAATTACACAGGCTGTTCTTATTACTTTGACATCAGTTCTGACCGGCTGGGCTGTCCTCTACTGTGCCTTACCGAGAGAGCAGTCAGGGCGGAAACACTTATAACTTCAATTTGAATGGGCGAAACTAACCACTGCTGGCCAAATATGCAGAGATATGTAAATGAGTTGCTGGTTCTCATGACATCACAAAAACACTGAATTCAAAACCGGCTGGTTTTGCTGTGCTGTGTCTATGTATGAACTGTATGCGATGGAGAATGAGGGGTACATTTTGAAACTTTAAGGGAGGGACTATTGATTTTCTAAGGAATGGGCCCTTTAAGCAATTATGCTTAATTTGCTCTCTTTTCTGTAATAAAGGGAGACTCACATTGGCCTGGACTCCATCCTGAACATCCGGAACTCTTGGCATGACATCATACAGGGAGGAAACGTATGTAATGATAGACTTCTCATCAGGGTGGGGCACATCCACATCTGCCCAGAGAAGATAAACAAAACCCGACAGTGGATTAATGACAGGCTACAGCGCAAAGTAACAGCAAATGGTGATTATACCACATATTTGGTATATATATATATATACACACACACACACACACACACATATATATATATATATATATATATATATATATATATATATATATATATATATATATATATATATAAAAGCCATACATATGTGTAAGCCAAACTTGTCCTGGCTTATCAGCTACATTTCACGGTTGTAAGAGGAAAACCTCGTATCTCCAAAATGGCGACTTTACAGGAAAAGGAAAAAACCTACTTTACTTTTAATGTAAGTCAGTGGAACCAGATTTTCTTCCAAGTCATTTTGGGCCGTTTCTTTTAGTCCATTCATCATGAAATTTACATACAATGTAAAGAGCAACAGGTATTTTCAAATTATGTCAAAAACTTAAAAAAAACAACAAAAAATGGAGATACGAGGTTTTCTTCCGACAGCAGCGATTTGTTAATAATATTTTTTTACCTTTATTCTGTTTCATGTGCACTGCATAATGTTACAAATGGCTGAGATAAAAGAAAAGACTCCTCTATTGTTATTATTGCCTTTTAAGAATCTAGTTTAATTTGTTTATATATACTCGGCATGCGCCAATATGGGAACTGTGGGTCAATGCAGATCCTCGTTATTTTTCATACACACATCTGTTGATGCTGATACCAATGCATAAACATTTATAAGACATAGGACATCCACCTGCATTAGCATCATGGAGAATTATAAAACTTCTACAGGGTGACAAATACAGTTAAATGAATACTGAAATATCAGTTTAAAATATCTGTGAGATCTAAACTGAAATGTAAAATCCATCCAACCCTGATCATTTTTGATAATAATGGTCCCCAACATAACACTCTGCATCTCGAATACCAACAGTCAGTAACTTTAAGCCAAAAAAAGAACAGTATAAATGGTGACAGCCCCAGGGAGCGATCTTTTTTACCTTCTGGATCGAGCAGGCGGGTGACACCCAGCTCTCTCTCGGCCACGCTGAAGGCCTGCTCCAGATTCTCCAGGTTCGTCTGTCTGTACACCTTACTCATGTCAATCAAATTAGGCCTGAAGGACAGACAGAGAACCAAGTCAGAACATGCTTCAGCGGGAGTTACTGATCTGAAGGCTGCAGCTACTAAGGAATATGATCCAGGCTGGTTCTTGCTTGGTATGTTAACAGGGGGGTGAATACTTTACATAACAGATAAACACCACTGTGAAAAGTTATGAGCTGTTTCCGATCGTTACCATCAGTTCGGTATTTCCAGATAACTTCTCCATGAGACAGTTGTTTTGAGCATCAAACACACCTAGAGAGGATTTGCCTTAGAATGTACTCAGAACTATTTGCATGCTATTGTATGTATACTAAATAACATTCAGTCAACAGCTCTCTGCATCTGGGCTACACACTGCCAAGAAGATAATTACAGACAACACTGCATGCACCTACAAGCTCCAAGAAGAATTTAAGCATTTCAAAACGATGGTAATGCTGAAAAGAGCAATGCAAGACCACAGTTTGTAATGTTCGCATTAGAGCTGGGTATCAAAACTCAACAGTACCGAATATAAAAAATTCTGTCATTCAATATCAAATTTCAATATCCACGTAATCAGTCTGATCAGCATCCATGAGCCAACAAGTATGCTTGTTCCAAAATCTAGACTCCTAAATTACATTACATGTGCATATTATTAATGTTATTGCTTCTTGATTAGTCTGTAATCTACTGCAGTCAGCAAATACACCCACTTCCAATACTCGTTTCTGGTTTAATGCACACCCACTTTTGGATTATAATTAAAAAGAATATCTTGAAAAAAGCATCAAAGTCAAGTCAAAGTATTGATATCAATATCAACAAAAATTCATAGCGATACCAAGTTCAGTCAGCACACTAAAATTCTAGCATGCTAAGAGGATTTTAGCACACAATGCTAGATAACTAGCACAATTGACTTTTAAGCTATAGCACAAAAGTGGCTAAAACACTAAGCACACTTACATATAAATGGCTTTAAGGAAAAAACAGAATTTAAGAGCAATTTCAGAGCAAATGTGATGCAGAGAAGAACAACACCAGTCTGTTGTGGTGTGTAAACAAGGCCACTTACAGTACCGGACACTCGTTTTTGGTTTAAGCTATGCCCACTTTTGTTTTATAATTTGAAAGAACATGGTGAAAAAGTATCATTCACATATCAGCATCAAAGACCAGGTATTTCGATCGGTATCTAAAGATTCTGAACCATAACCAGCTCCAGTTAGCACTTCTAGCATGCTAGGAGAATACTACTGTACTATGCTACAAAAATTAGCATATTAGACTTCTAAGCAATGGCAGAAAATATATACAGAATCAATTTAGTGAATATGAAAAATTGACGCATTTCAGAAAAATGGCACAATGAAAGACTATATTTTGTTAATGCTATTATACTAACATTCTAGTATACAAGAATTAACTATGCTAGCATGATAGAATTTAAAACTACAGCATTAAACATACATCCAGCTTGACAAACACAACATATGCAAACTATAGTATATGCCTCCTACTATATCTACACTAACTACTTCAGAGAATATGATAAATTCAAATATTTCAATGCAAACAAGAGACTATAGTGTGCAATGTTGGCAAGATAATATTCTAGCAGGCTTAGTATGCTAGGAGATTAATAGCATACTATGCTAGACATTTAAGCTATAGTATAAAATGGACATTCAAAATACTCCAGCTGCTTCAGTGAATGTGACTTTAAGCATTTTAGAACAGTGGTGATGTAGAAGAACAATACCGGACTATATTTTGTAGTGCTAGCATGGTAAAATTCTAGTATACTGGAACTTAAAACTGTAGCAGGAAAGAGACAACCAACAAACCAAACAGAGTTAATGCCAAATACTGCATAAACCAAAATAACTATAGAATTTAAGCATTTCAGAAAAACAGCCAAGCAGAAAAGAGACCATAATTTGTGTTGTTAGCATGCTAAGATTCAGCAGTGCTAGTATGATACAACACACCAGATGCAACACTGTGACGAATCGCTGCCTTGGCATGTAATTACATATTACGACCACCTCGATCTCTACAAAGCAACTTAAGGCACTCGTACACTTGACTGCCTCTTTGGGTGTAGCAGTAGTAAGCCTGCGTGCCAGGAGGCACCACCTCGGTACAATAGGCTTTTCTGTAGGACAGCGTGTCGCTGCTCAGGGGGCAGAGCCGCCATTCTTTGCTCAGCTCGAAATCGCCACTCTGCGATCCACAGCTGGAGCGTCCTCCTGGACTCAGGGACTCCGGGCTGGAGTCAAAGGATCCCCGAGAGGGCACATCCTCGCATAGCATGACCACCCGCTCGTCCAGGTCACTGACTGAGCCATGAGCGCTGCTTGAAGAGCTACTGCGCCGTTTCCCTGTCCGAAACTTCTTCTTCAGGCTGAACATCGGGCTGGTAGTGTAGCGCGTGGAAGGAGAAAACCAAGCACTGTGCACTCAATCATAGAACTCCATACAAGCACACTTCTGGATGGATATCCTGTGAGATGTTTCCAAAGGTTTTCTTGATCAGCTTAACTTTCCATGGTACAGAAGGTGGAGAAAGAAAAATCTCTCAGTCTATCTGGGCTAATTCCACAGGCACATCCAAATTTTCTGGTGATATTCCATGTTGACAGCAAACGGCAGCTGCAAACGTAGAAATAAATGCGCCATCTCTACTTTTAGGAATTACAAGCGAGAGAACGAGGAAAAGTCTAATGCTGGTTGTCGTTCCTCTTGATTTCTGGCTGCTTATTAAGCTCCAAAGACAGCCAAAGCATACCTGTGCTGTGCAGGCACATGCAGAAAGTTAAAAGCACAGCCTCTGGGGATGCTTGGCGTTCTCTCAACACTACGCCCTCCATTCACGACTCAAATTTCCCAATTTATCTTTGATCCCGCCCTTGCCATACTTTTCATGTTTCACTACGGCCTTAAGGTGAACTTCGTTAAACAACAACAGAAAAGCTAATACAGGTCAGGTCAGCCATATACTGTTTCATGCACGGCCGCAACGTGATATATCTTGTGCAAAAGTGCAAATAGGACGAATTTGGACATGAACTGTGAGACCACACAAGGAACAGAGACGCTCTGAGTGTCTCTTGTTGGTGTAATTATCCCACATTCTGCCTTACTGGGTAGAACAGTGGAACAATCCCAATGTGTTTGTGATCATATGTCTGCAAGCCCAAGTTCACCTAAACTTAAACTGGCTTTACAAGATGCTCAGTGTTGACATTCATATCTGAGGACTAAAGCTGATTTCGAACAGAAAGGAATAATTCCAGAAACCAAGTTTATGTGAATTAAACCTGGGAATCTTTTAGTCACTTGACATTAAAGCTACAGATTTTCACGTCTAATAAGGAGGAAGACTGAGTGATGGAGGCTGCCCCTTCAGATGAGCTAATGTGAAAGCTGGACACTGGACCAGAGCTAAGAAAACTCATCTTCACACTGTTCTGTAGTGTTATTTATCATGACTATTAGCGAATACAGCAACCCAAACCCAGTCCAGCTTACCTTAGAGCTTAGACTTCATAGTTTTGACACTGAGCTGTGAGAGTCCACAGAGTTTAAGGCAAAACTTTTCAAGCTTTAGGAGTAAAATAATGACAGCTCCACCCTACAGATGATCAAGATAGCAACATATTGCTCTGTAACACCTTTCCACCATTTTTTAGCCCAATCACTCAGACTGATTTACTGCTATTGATGTTCTCACTGCTGCTTTGTTATGAGGAGTTCGTCTGATTTTCTTCACTTGACAGATGAAGGAGAGTTAATGGGCTGTGATTGGCTGGAAGGCATGTCAATCACTATTTTGCAGTTCATTGTACAGTAACAGAGGAGCTACAGTCTGTACTAGTAAACCTACAAATTGCACCTATATGGTAGGTGTTTCTGATAAAATGGTCAACGAATGAGGGTATAAGGAAGGTGTAAGGAATAAACTCAGCGTATGAAACCTCTGGCACACTTTCAGGTAATCTAAAATAAATGTTTTAGAGAGTCTGAGCTGTGATCAGCACTATCAGCAGGCTCTTTCTCACCTGTGTTTGTGGATGACGGCATTGAAGAGCTTGCCGTCTCTCCAGCTGGTGGTGAAGTTATCACAGCGCATACCGTGGAAGCCCTCCACCATGCGCTGAGACCACAGCAGCAGCTTCTCCTTGGCCGTCATGTCATCTGACTGACCACTCACTTGGATGTCTGAGATCTGGAGGTAAAAAAAGAATGCAGAGAGGAATTATGGGGTTTGTAGTACAGCAAGGAGTTTGAGCAAGCAATACGTTTTTTAGTACAATATATTGCAACATTACAGTCATTCAACACTGAAGTCTGGAGAATTCAAATGATTTTTAAAAATGTCTGCATAATTAAATTATTAAGGTGTTAAAAAGTCATTCAGAGTGGTGAAATTTGGTGAAATGCTCATTCTAGAGAAAATTGTTGAGTCAGAATTGTTCAGTGGTGGTGATAGGAACCCGACATCTTAGTTTAATGCCTTTAAAAGCTCCCTCACAGAAAGTTATTGCATAAAAAGATTATGAATATGCTGCCTTATGCCTGAAACACTGTTTTGAGATATTTTTGAGAAAAGATTTTGTTTAAAAACAACAACTTTTGCATTGGACGACGTGACCCCTGGTTCCTATCACCACCACTGTCAAGAAAGCTAAGCCGTTACATTTATCCGCAATGAGCCATTTCACATCAAACCACTCTGAATGACTTTTTTACATCTCAAAGACTAAATTATGCAGAAATTTGGAAAAATCAACGGAATTCCATCTTTACATACATGTGGAAGAAAAAAGCTGTAAGTGGATCTGTACAGCATCATTTTCTGAACTGCCCAATTTACATTACATGAAATTTCATTGCTTTTCTTGGAATGAAAAGAAAATCCCATAATAACACCCTAGATGTTGTTGCTAGGATACTGTGGTGGGTAAACATGGCAGCTGGTGACGATCATACGATTCTCACAAAAAAGTCTTATGATCAGGGCTTTCGATTGTGTCCGGTTGTGTAAAGTGAATGTACGCGGTTCTCTGCAGTGACTCATCATCAGGGTTTCTCCTTTAGCCTAATCACTTCTCCCAGGCTAAAACGGGCACCGTGCTTCGGTTCTGTTATAAATGCACCACTGTGTGGTGGTGGGGAAGTTGGCTGGGTTTAGTGGTCAGACGTGCTGCTGTGTGTGCACGCAGTGACTCAGACGGCATGGAAACATCCTCCACCCTCTCGCTTCAGCTTTACGAGAGCCCGCAAAGCCGTTCTAGCTTCCTTCCACTGCAGGAGGAGAACTGCGGCTCAAATCAGTGGCCACAGAGGAAAGCTGCCTTTGTTTTTTCAACAGAGAACACACGCCAGCTGCACCACAGGCCTGAAGTATGGAAGCAAGCAGTGAAGTTTCAAGTTCCATATTTTACGGTTAAGTTATATAATAAAAAACTGAATTTTCTTTGCTTTTTATTTTAAATAAGAGATTGATGTAGTATGTAAACACTCAAAGTTTCAAACTCTACCATTCCCTCCCCATTTGCACAGTCCATATATGGAAACTAAGCTGTGCTTTTAATTAATTGTTGTGGTGTCACGAAAACCAATGCATTTCAACTTACAGCATCTTAGCCCCGCCCATTCACACTAAGATTAGAAAGAGTGTTTCAGTGCTTTTTTTTTTTTTTTAAAGGCACAATAAATACCAGCCAATTTAGGAAACAGGTTATTTACATATCACTGTTGTCAGAACAAAACCTTGTATCTCCAAAATGGTAACTTTACAGGAGAAGGAAAAAACCTACTTTACTTTTAATGTAAGTCAATGGAACCAGACTTTTTTCCAAGTCATTTTGGGCCACTAATTTTGGATCAGTCATCATTAAATTTGCACACAGTGTAAAGAGCAACAGCCATTTTCAAATTATGCCAAAAACAGTCAAAATGGAGATACGAGGTTTTGTTCTGACAGCAGCGGGAGAACCACCAGGAGCTCAACTCACTGATAATCACCTAGGTGAGAGCGAGGCACAGTCTAACCAAGGATACAATGGTACAACAGGGACTTTTTATACAGTCAAACAGGGTCAAATAGAACATGCTTTCAGTCACCTTCTTCTATTCCCATAGCAACGTTACCTGAGGATTTTGAGAGCAATCAGACAGATGCTTCACCAGATTCATCCTGATTTTGTCTGATTTTTGTAATATTATTGTAATTTTAATTTTATAATTACCAAGCACTGTAAATAAGATTTCAATCCTGTATTATTTTAACCCATTAATGTCCATACATGAAATCTGTGACATTTCTTTTGCCGTATTTGTTCTCTCAGCTTGTTTGAGAACAAATTTGTAGAAATGTTTCAAACTGATCAAGCCACATGGCTAACAAGCGAGTTTTTACTCACTTATTATATTAAATTCAGTTTTTGATCACATGGGACTACTGACTTAGATTCAGAAAGTAATTTAATTGTTTAATCCAATTTAACTGTGACTAAAAGTATGAAAATTATATTTAAACAATAAATTAAAAAATTGTCAGGTCCGTCCAACATGTCAGTTTAGTTAAAATGGCTATTTTTTAACTGTAGTAATAACTGCATAGGGTATGACTGTACAAAATGTAATCACTTTAGACCAATCAGATCATGTCGTCACCATATTATATTAAGTTGATGGACATGAATGTGTTAATTTCCCCATTGGTGGTTGTAATATAGCATCATTTAGAAGCAGATAAACAGCTCACAGTGAGAGCGAGCCAGGCTAACAGCCTCCACACTGCGGGGTGAGTTTAACACGCAATTACAACTAAACACTGTTTCCTCCCATAGAAATTTAAAACAGTTCAGTTAGATTTTATGCACAGATCCATCAAACTGAACTGCTGTATTGTGCTGATAGCAGCTCTTCTACATCTGCAAGTCTCTTGTCACGAGCCACATTTGTCTTAATGAATATATGTAATGCATTTATGCCGGAAAGCAGCATCGATTTTTACTGAATTAATTGCGTTTTGCATCATTTTACCACAATTTTAGCGATTATTATAAGTAGCCCCTGTTTAGTGAATTACAATTAGCCAACCTATTGGCTGAGCTGTTCATAAATGGTACATTTGCATGTGTAGCACAGATGTGCAGCCTGTTTGTATAAAAATGATTAATCTTGTTAAAATGCTTTTATTAAAAAACACACACAGTTTTATTTACAAGCCCATCTGTTCTGTGTTAAACACTCCAATTGTCTATTCCAATTGATTCTGTTTTACAAAGCTGTCGGCCTGCAGAGCAGATACGTTCAGTTGTCTGTCGGATTAATAGCACAGTACGAATAATAGCATCAGACGCGATTCATAAATCACCTAAGCCTCTGCAAACAGTCAAATACATACAGCTTTTATCTGTGCAGACGAAATTCATTTTGCAGCGTTTGCAGCACGGTCCCGTAACTAATCGGTCAGTTCAATAGCTGCACAGTAGCCATGCCATTTGACTTGCGGCCAAAACAAAAAGGGCCGCTGTATAAAATGCGCACAAAAGAGCAGTATGCTAAAGAACGGAAAATAGCTCTGGAGCCCCCTTGACGATCATTAAAGAAATAAAGAAATACTGGAAACCGACAAAAAAAAAGAGCAGTCTCATGAGTCATCAACCAGTCATGCCAGTGTGCCCTCTCCCTCTTCCTTGTGGGAAAGAGTGAGTCACTGAGGCGGATGGACACAGTCCCAGACCGTAATCCCCGACAGGCCTGTTTTAACTTCAAAGAAATCCATTTCTGCGCTCTTTTTCCATCCTTAAAGAAACCGACTCAATAACTAACTATATTCAAAAGAATAAGAGCAAGTTCTGCAGAGATCCAAAGAAAGTAAACTTTTCTGGCACGACCGACCCGCCACTATTCATTACACCAGAAAGGAGGCCTTTATTCGCTGTTTAGTCTGAAATGGGTCTGATTAAATGAGAATCAGATGCTGCGCTGCTTAAACTGGATCCTGATGTGGGTCCATGAGTGAATGAGGCAGTAAACAATTTGTGAACTCAAACGTGGGTTGTCTGCACAGACTGGTGCAGCCTTGAGACCAATCGGGTAATTTAATATTGTTTATACTCTGCAGAATCATCTGTGAGAAAGTCTGTGTGGATGTCTGGACATGAGAAAGCCTCACTACTCATTAAGCATCATGCTAGTGTCAAGAAGTAGCCACGTAGCAATGTGGAATAGACTGAAAGGATGCATTACAATCAATCAAAGCATGTGCAGTAGGCCTGGGCGATGTTAGCAGATACTGCCAATGATTAAGTAAGCTACCAATGTAAGATTACAATGCTTCAAAGGCAATAATCACCGTTTTTGGGAAAATTGATAAGGAATTAGAGAAAAAAGTATGATAAATAATGTAAAATAATGTTTACATCTGATGTTGTATTCACTTTCATTGACTTGACTTTAAGCAATAGATCACTATGCGGCATTAATAAGCTGAAAATTTAATTTCATTATGAAAATGTATCTCAAGGTTTCCCTCAGACATCTATGCCTGAATTCCAGAGCATCTCTATTTTCCATAAAGACGGAAAACACCCGTGAAGCACGTGGGCGTGGCTTTGAAACTAAGCCATTCACTCGTGCAGCTTCAGCAATCTGCAGTTTTGTGTCATTTAAAGAGAAGAAACTTAAACACGTTTGCTTCCAAACTTTCACAGCAAGAACTAAAACAGTTTAATACCAAAAGATGTTGCATTTCTTAATATTATATTATTTAATATGTGATTTGCATTAATTCAGTTAATGCTAAAAAAGCACATAAGCGAAAGATAAGACAGAAAGTACATCTGAGCTGCAGTGGACTGTGTGTTTGCTTGCAGGGGGCTGAGTGGGCAATATTTTTTTTAACATGAAACTATCATGCTTATTATAATTACATTACCCAGGTCTATGTAGGGTGGCATGAAATTGCTGTGAGTAATGTTTATGTTTATGTTGTTGATTAAATATACCTGGAAGTGAAGGATGATTGTCCATATCAGCCCAAGGGTCAGCTTGGGGTTTCCATCTGCGATGTCATCATTTCTGATGTTGACCAGTTTGACCTGCCACAAGGGATGGACCAGTTTTTATAAGGAGCAAAATTTATGAAGAACTGACCTAAGCCATCAAAGAAAGCTCAATGATCTACACTCTTAAAAATAAAGGTGCTAAAAAAGGTTCCTTGGAGTGAAAACACAGAAGAACTGCTACTGTTTTCCTAAAGAACGTTTCAATTTCCTAGAAAGAAACACTTCCTGAAAGAACACCTTTGTGTAAACGAGATGTGCGAGCTAGAAGAATCTTTTTTAAAGAATATTCTTATCATGTAAATCAATGCTGTTAAAAAAAAAAAGTGTCCATTTTTTGATTTTTATTTTTCTAAAACATTTAAGGACGGCAGCTGTCCTTTATATTATATGAAAATTGAAAATTCATGAGTATTGGGTCATCAGAAATGCTCAAAAACTGCCTGGAATAAAATCTCTTTACATTAACTTATATTGAAAGTGAAGAATATTTTTGCCTTCTCCTGTAAAACTGCCATTTTGTAGATACTTGTTTGTTTTTTTGGACAGCAACAAAATGTTCTACACCATTTTTTTTTCCTAAAACCATACAATCAATCCAAGAAGCACTGCACTGTTGTTTTAAAAAAACACTTATACAGTATGCACTTATTAAGCCTTAACAAGCCAGTGCTTTTTAATTAACTGGCTGCTTATTATTACATTATTAAGCAGCAATTTTTTTTTTTAGTTGATCATTTTAGGTGTATGTTATTATACCATTATCAAGCCAATAGCTGGGAACTTCTCAAGTCAGATGGTCCTAATTAACTGGCTGCCCATTACTACATTATTCAGCAGTAACTAGGATGAATTTTCAAAATGGGCTGTTTTTGCAGCGTAGCTTACATATATGGAGTGTATGGACTGGGTGAACATTACTTTTTGAAACTTTTACAAGTTTATATACTCCTTTCATTTAAAAAAGCGAGGACAATTTGGCCAACGGTGATATTGGGCCTATCAGATTTTGAGTTTCTCAGTGTGACAGTTGATGACTGACAATCATGTAAGTCAGTAAAGCATATTTCTTCCAAATCTGCTGTCCAATATTAACCATTATTTCAAGGTCCTTAAAATTGAAATCTGTGACACAACTTTGATATCAGACAGTCACTCAGACTGAAATAGGCATTTTCCAGAGCTCTTGTAACGCTCTTATTAAGCTTTATTGAAACTGAACCATAACCAAGAAAAAAATAAATGATAATAATAATAATAATAATAACAATAATAAATGAATAAATGATATTAGCCAAATCAGTCTTTCTTAGTTCAACTGTGCATTTTAACTTTTGGAAGGTACTGATGGCTAATTATCAAGTGAAAGTTAATTACCAACTACTGGTTTGCTAAGGCTGAATATGTGCTATTCTAGGGGTATTATAATGTCCCCCTATACTGAAGTGTTATCAAAAAAGATTTTGCTGCTGTCGGTACAAAACCTTGTATCTCCATTTTTGTTGTTTTTCAGTTTTTGACCTAATTTGAAAGTGTCTGCTGCCATTTACATTGTGGGTAAATTTCATGATGAATGGATCAAAATAAAAAGCTCAAAATTACTTGGAAAAAATTCTGGTTCCATTGACTTACATTAAAAGTAAGGTATGTTTTTTCCTTCTCCTGTAAAGTTACCATTTTGAAGATATGAGGTTTTGTTCCGACAACAGTGAAATATAAAGATGTAAAATTGTAGTCTTACAGGAGAAAGCAAAAATGGTTTTAACTTTTAACAACAATTATCCAAGTTGTTCTAATTTGGAGCATTTCTACTGGTCCATTCACCATTAAATTGTCAGCTAATGTAAAGAACAGCTGCTGTTGTAAATCTGTAAACCTTTAAATTTAGGAGAAAAATGGAAACTGCACTGGTGTTGTGACGACCGTACCTGTCTACGTTTGAGGAAGTCCAGGGCAATCTGAACATTCTGCAGTTTGTGGAAGCGCATGCGGCCCTTCTCTCTGGGCTAGAGGACAAAAAACAATACAAAGAGAGATTAGAGGAAGAGAGAGATCACTGAGTGAGAGTAACAGTGAATAGTTTGAGTCAGCTAATGCTACATCCTGTTATTATGTTTAAATTGGGCAGACTGTTTCACACGCCACCTGAAATGTTCGAAACAAAGTTTCAGAAACAAAAGAAAGAACATTTAAACACAGAAAAACTCATATTTCAAACACGAAAATATTACCTGACCTCTACAAATGGGTACGCTTGTTTAAACGTACCTATTTGAATGTGACAGTAATAAACTACACCAAAAGAAAAAATAAGGGTAACACTTTCTATGAATGTCACCTTTGTAAGCATCTATAAACACATTCATAACATGTTATAATGCATGCATAAGGCATTATAAACATAGCTATACATATTTATAAAAATGCACTATACGTTATAGCCATGTTTATTATGCATTATGAATTGTTAACATAATACATTATAAGTACTGATCATAACAAATTATAAGAGCTCATAAGTCGTATTAGTCCGCTCTAAGTAAAGTGAAGCGTACTGTACTAAAGCCTCCTCCAGTGTTAAGAGTGAGGCTACAAGTTGAAGTATTTACTGAAGGATTTACTGAAACACTAAAACATTCACAGTAAAGCACATTACAGGCTTCAAATGTCAGAGTTTAAACTAGTGCTGCCATCAGTGTTTTACCCAATGTGGGAAAGGTAATGTACACCATCGTTAGCCTGGTATTTGTCTTTACTTTACACTCTCCAAGCTGGGACTGACTTCTTTGGCACTGACATTATAACATGTTATTAACACTATTTATAATGCATTATATTAACAATTCATAATGTATAATAAACATGGCTATAAAGTGTAATTCAGTGTAATTCTTTTTTATAAATGTTTATAACCATGTTTATAATGCCTTATGAATACATTGTTATAAATGTGTTTATAGATGCTTACAAAGGTGACATTCATAGAAAGTGTTACCAAGAAAACTAACTCTAAGACCTGCCTTCCCATTCAATCTTCAGTATAAACAAAACAAAGAAAATATTTGTGAATATTCAAATAACCTGTAAGTACAGTACACAATGGACTCATCATGTTCAGGTAAGGCTGAACCATACAGTAGACACCTCTGAGGTATATAAGTGTGATGCCATACTGAATATGCAATGCATTCGGTGCTATCTGGGACATATGTGGAGGGAAATGCACGACCATAAAGCCCAGACCATGCACTGGCATGTCAATCATTTATCAAACATACAGCCAGTCAGACTCTGAGATGACGCATCAGCCAGACTCTTATTGGCTTGCAGTGTATGATGTCACTCACAGCTAAATGATCCCATGTCTGCAAGAACTATCAGACATGAAGCGATGCATTAAAATGAAAGGTGAAAGGGAGATATTTCATTACCAGCAAGTATTCAACATGTTCTATAGGTGACAACATATACAGTAACCAATAATCCTGAGAAAAACTTACCATGAACCCCGACAGTTACAACAGTCCATTTATGCATTAATATCTGCCCATGTGACCTGGCCTGAGAGCCGATCCCCTAGTGTACAGATCCTTTAAGGTACCATTATGTGACAAGATCATTTATGAGGGAAGCTTGTCCATTTTTTTCTCCAAATTACTCAAAATTAAGCCAACTATATGATCAGATGGTCCGATTTAAAGTCAGACCGATATATCATCGGTTTGAAAAAAATCGGCGAATATTAAGGTTCAACAGAATTATTGGTATCTGCTAAAATTCTTCCAATAATTACAGGTAAATTGATCTATATCTGAATAAACAAATGTCTCAAGTATGAGCTGAAAAGGAGTATTTATGAATTCGGTCGATCTTTACAGAGATGGCAAAACTGACAATTACCAGATGAAACCTTTATTACCGCAATATTAAATATCATCGTGGTTAAAATAACAAAAACATATAAAATGCATCCAAATCTAGGCTTTAGCACAAGAGTAAAATGCTAAAGGTGAGATCAGGTGACAACATCATTAATGAGGGGATCTTCCTGCCTTTTTGTCTTTTTTTTAAGCCACTACATCACCAGATGGTGTGAATTAGGGCCAGACCGATATTTCAACTGGTTGATCAATCTGCTGATATTAAGGCTCAACAGATTTCCTGGAATCTGCTGAAATCCTGCCGATTATATAGAAGTTGCTTGTTTCATACACCTAACATATGAAGTGAAAATGAGAATTTCTTCAGTTTCATGCTAATTAACAGACTAGAAGAAACCAATGAAACTGCTAAGAATGATGAGAGGTTCCGCCCCCTACAATATATATTATTTAAAGGGCCCATATCCTACATTCCTTTTGTCTTATTTTTCTCAGAGGTCCACTGACTATATTTGAATGGGTACCAAAACCAGTATAATTAATGTTTTTTTGTTTTTTGTTATTATGCATTCTTAAAAAAAGACGGTTCTCCAAGGGTTCTTTAGTAAAGAAGAACGTTTCTATATATTACCATAAACACTCAAAGAACCATTCACATGATTAAAGGGTTCACTGCATCATGAAAGGGTTCTTCAGATTGATGGAGAATATGCTGTGTATGGTTCTATATAGAACCGTTTTGAAAGGGGTTCTATATAGCACAAAAAAGGTTCTTCTATTGTACACAAGCTTGACATTGTAACAGTAGAAGAGCCCTTTTTGGTGCTGTATAGAACCATATACAACACATTCTCTACCAGTCTGAAGAACCCCTTCACGATGCAAAGGGTTCTTTGAGTGTTCATGGTTCTATACAGAACTTTTCTCTTTGCTAAAGAAACCTGAAGAGCCTTCTTTTTTAAGAATGTGCCTTTTGGACTAAGATATGTAAATGAGCTGTGCTCGGATTAGTTGCCCTGTATTGAGCCTAATTCAATAATCACTCAGAGCTGAAACACTTCTTATAACCTAAGCATGATATATATATATATATATATATATATATATATATATATATATCCACAACAGTTTTGCTCTGCCCATATATATATGAATGGCTTGGTTTTTATGACATCAAAAAAACAAAGAATTCATAATGGGCTGTTTTCATAGCTTAGTTTTTATACATGAGCTGAATGGAGAGCAATTTTTTCCAATGTTTACATACTACTCTAAAAAAAGAGAGGAAAATGGATTTCTGTGATATGGGCCACTTCAGACTTTGTCAAAATATTAATGTAAAAATTAAGGACTGACAATCATTTCACTCAGAAAAGCATATTTCAACCAATTCTCTTCTTTCTGCCCAGAATTATCAGTTATTGGAAATTTCAGCTCATTAAAATCGGTATCGGTATCATTCATTTAATTTTTCATATCGGTTCAGCCCTAATTTGACATCTGCAAACTCAGACTGGTTGATCAGACAGGACAAACTTTAAATACTCGACAACTGCACCTGCCCGAACTAATGCTACGTGCAACTGCGCATGTTTTTGGAGGGAATACTGATGGCAAGCCACAAGACAAAGGAAGTGACATCATGCACAGCCCAGGTCACCTGGGAGTGACACATGCCACGCGCCCCGAGGAGGCGAGCCGGAAGGTTCTAGACCCACTCACCAACCGCGAGTTCCTGACAACGTCACGCTCCCTCGGCTACCCACAGCAAGAGCATCGCAAGAGAAGAGGCAAAGGCAAAAGGGGGTCAAGGTCAGGGCAGAGGTCAGCAAACAGGACGTAGAGAACTGAAAGGTCAGGGGGGTTAAAACCAGTGCACACAGAGTTGGAACAGAGGCACAAATCACGAGATTAAAGTGTTAAAGGAGGTGCAGTGCAGAAGAAAAATGGTGAAAGTAGTTGAAGTGACTGGGCATTCAGAACATATTTGCGTATTTCTCTGTATGTGTGGGTGCAGCCTAAAACGTCGCATGCAAAAACGTAACAAAATGTAAAGAATTGTGATTTTATGCAATTAAGTGCAGGTTAAAGAGGGTCAATGACATTTAAATATTAACTAACAAGCAGCCTGAGTGAGTAAGGGAGGGGTCGGGTAGAGGAAATAGAAGGTGCGGAAGCAGAGGATAGTCGTGGAGCTAGATTTGCCTCAGGATGCTGATCTAAGGTCAGTCTTATGGCCTGTTTCGGCCTCTTTTAGGGTTTGCTGGTCCCAGGTCAGCATGGAAAGACTCACCAGGGTCTCCCCAGAGAGCACCTCCAGTAGGGAGATGAGGTTGTGGCCATCTCGCAGATCCTCGTACAGGTCTGTGATGTGCCTCTGAGCCTGGAAGGAATGAATAAATGAATGAATAAATAAATAAATAAATAAATAAATAAGAAAGACAATTAGTCTGAATTCAATGGGAGGCAAAGCTTTGCTCTTATAAATATATCAGATACAACATTTGGTTTGATTTGGTATTTTTGTTCTCGTCATATAAAAAATTTGCAACTCCATTTTTGTTAGGCTTTTTTTTTTTCCCCATTTGACTGGACATTACCAATAAAAATGACCTAAGCATGCTGAAAACAACGTACAGTTGCATGCAAAAGTTTGTGGTGCAATTACATGTTTCTACGTAAAGAGAAGTTCACAGAATTAATTTTGCAAATTTTATCGCACAGTTTCTATTTATTTGCCTTGTTTACCATACTGAGGAAAACAGGTGTAAATAACTGTAAAGTGATACTGAGGTCAAGACTTAAAGGCCACTCAGATTAACGTTTCTCTCACACACAACTCAGTCTATCAGCACTCAGGACTAAAATTTCAAGACTCATTTTGATGCAGTCACTTTTGTTTTGACCAACCAGCACATCACTGAAAACAGACAGTGGAGGTCAAGTGTATATTAATGTATCCACAAAAGTCTAGAGTCCAGGCAATTTGGTCACCATGTTAGCAGTTTATGAATTCAAGGCAAAACACAGCACTGCAAACCAAACACACAGCACACACGAGTTACTACTGTTTGTAAGAGTTAACACTGATTGCTTTGATGATTGACAGTGAAAATGCATGACTTTTAATGAGGCTGTTTTTTGAGGTGTTAAAGGGGAACTCCACCCATTTTTTTCAAAATTGCTGTATAATTAAATGGTTAAGATGTAAACAAAGTCATCCAGAGTAGTTTGGTGGGAAATGCTCTGTTGTAGAGAAACTTCACAAGTCAGAATTGTTCACAGTGATGGTGACAGGGACCAGATTTCCCTTTAGAGTGTAATGCCCCAGAAAGCTACCTCACAGAAAGTTATACAAAAAATAAAGATATGTTGCTTAATGTCTGAGACATCACTTTACGATAGTTTTGCGACCATCTTTAGGCCTAAAAAATAAAAAAAATACACTAATGGTGGAGAGATACATGCAAGGTGCTGTGAGGCAAAATAGTCCTACCAGTTGTCAATTTCCAGATTTACTTCTATTTTACCATTATCACTGTCACATTTAAATACTCAGAAGATTGGAGGTTCACTTGTTTTGGACATAAAAAATGATAAAATATATAAAATTGGCAAATAAAATAATCATATTTGCAGTGTAATCATCACAACTCCTGGTTTCTATCAACACCACTGTAATGAAATCTAAGTAAGTTTGTCTACAAACCATTTCAAACCAAACCACTCTGAATGACCGTTAGCATCTTGATGATTGAACTATGCTGAGGTTTTCAAAAATTGGCGGAGTTCTCCTTTAACGTAGTGAAGTGTTAATAACCTGATCCGCATTTACCTCACAGTGTCAGTAACCTCACCAAAAGAACACAGATGAAAGACATTTGGTGTTAAAGGCTGTTTCTGCTGAATGCTAAAGCCTCCTGCAGAAGAGAGGGCTGGTCACTCTGCGCACGTTTACCACTAAACATCACTGTCTCGTCTTCAGTCCACTGTCGTGTGCCACTTTTACAACTACAGTCATATGTAAAAGTTTGAAACCCACCGGTCAAATGACATCAGGGACACGGGAAGATGTTTTAGGTTGGGGTGCTGAAATTCTAAGCAGCATATAAGACGTGAACGATAACGTCATGATACGTTATTCACCTTTTTCCCATTTGATTCAAACAGAACGTGTCAGACTGTACTACAGTGAGGCGAGAGACGACCATGTGTACATATAACTGACGCATCAGACCACGGACGCACATCCTCTCTCAGCTCTCTCATTCTGAACAGACTTTAAGCAAATTAACTAAATGGCAACCAATCAGCTTGTTAATATGTGGAGCGGTATGCGATTGTGTCACGCCCACAGTCACAAGGCGAGATTTAACAGTGAAAAGCACACCGACTGGGAGATATAATGGTTGATAAAGGGTTATAAGTACGTTAGATGACTTTCAAAAAGTGTGTAAACAGTATTAGGCTGCTTTGGGGTTCAGAACTGGCTGCAATCCATGCAGTTACTTTCTTTAAACCTTAGCCAGCATGTGTTTTACTGATGCCTCCAAAGCGGGTAGCAGTTGTCGAGGAAAGCAATTCAGCTTGCTTTAACAAAAATACAGAGTTAACTTCAACAGTGCATGGCTACTATATGTATAATATATAATATAATATCTACATATAAAAATAGAAAATAATCTTTACTGCGCTCAAAGTTCAGATCTCTACATCATTATTATTATTTTTATCAGTTGCAGTCCTGAAATCAGGGGGCGCTGCAGCACCCTCAGCACCCCCACTCCCCATGTCCCTGAATGCCATGTTCTGTTTTCTAAGTGACAATACGTTTCCAGGGATTAACATGTTGGAAAGAATAAAAGAACAAAATATTAACTTTAAAAGTGCCGCAACTCCACACTGTGTACTGCAGAGTCTACAGTGTGTACTGTATGGAACTTCATTTGACCAGGGGTGCCAAAACTTTTGAGCACAAACTTATATTAAAGTGATAGCATAGCGGCATAAAAATCTAATCTGCTTTGTTTACCCTCATTTCCCCCGAAAATGTAGTCAATCTAGTCTAAATTTGGTTCTTTATTCCACTATAGTTAAACTACAAGGCCTAATGTACACTGGAGCACTAATGGAAGCTACTAGCTACACTATGTTCACAATTAATCTTGAATGGCTAAAAAACATTAATGTGAATCGCTGTTATCACTAACATACCATTAGAATCCTATAGGGGTACTAGCAGAATTTAACAACATGGTAGAGGCCTGCTTTTCCTCATTTTCGACTGAGTATTGATATTTATGGCCCAAACTGAAGGCCTAGTCCTGGTTTACCACTGCAGGACAATGTATGACACACTTTTATCTATAAAAATGAAGAAAGTATGGACAAAATTCAGGCTTCAAGATGGCTACTACTGTTTTTAGCTATGTGAAGTACTTTTGTGGATTTTTCTAGGTGACAGTACATCACACAGTGTCAGAAACCACATAAGCAAGTCTATCCCTGATAACAAGAGTATAGTGGACCACCATTGACCTGCTGGCGGCAAAGCTGGTGGTCTATTGGCATTTTGTTCAGCGTTTTCTGGGTGGCCCACCGGTGTTTACGCAGATTATTAGACAAAATTCCACTTATCATCACTCATTTTCCACTCACAGTCCAATTTACTGATTTTTCCTTCCCTCGTTTCTTTAGTTACACTTTGTAAATTAGTTTTAGTTCCAGCACAGCGTCAGTAACATTTTCTATAAAAGCATTTTATATCAGGCCTCGTCATTATTTTTTTCCTCTCATTTGTTTGTAATATTTGTCCTTGTTTATTTTCTAAAATAAAAGTCTCTGGGCATTTAAAACCTGTTTGAGGAGATTAAAAAAACTAGTAAGAGCTTGTATGCAGGACAGTAATCTGGGTGGTCCGAGGGTAGACCAGCAGGGTGCCGACCTTATCAAGCCAGAGGACCAATATATGCTCACTATCTGGGAATTAGAGATTACTGAACAACTTGACATGGTTTGAGGTCATTTGTGATGATTTCAGCGGTTGCACAGTGCTAATTAGCAGGGTATTAGCTTCCATTAGCTATTAGCTACATCAGCCTCACAGCTCTAGTGCAAAATTAAAGAAGCAAACTTCGGACACCAAACATGTCTGAGCTGACTGACTACGTTTGGGGTAAGAGGAAAACTGTAAACTTGATTTTTTAAGTATCAGTTTAAGCTACACGTTAGCGTTGAGCCTTTAAATGAAATCTATAACATAAACCACCTGCTCTGGCTGCAAAGAGGCTGAAGCAGAGGCAGCAGAGGGGTTAAGGACAGGAAGAACAAGGAGGGAGACGTGAGAGCTGTAGGTGCCCGTGCGGGACGCCCCACGCTCGGAGAAACCTGTTCAGTCAGCAAACATCTGCTCACATACTCCACCTACCTCAGCCCTCCAGTGCTGACGGAGAAGGATGGAGAGAGGGAGGGAGGGAGATGGTGATGGAGAGACAGAGACAAAAGGGGAAAGAGACAAAGGCCCAGATGAGTATGAGCATTACAGACTGGAAGTTTGATATGAGAAGTATGAGAGAAAGAGAGAGGGAGGACAGCATACAGACACAGACACAGATACAGTACTGCACAAAAGTCTTAGGCCAGCCAAGAAAATGGTTAAAACTCTTTATCTGGGCAGTAAGTGTGAGGCAGCTTATGAAAATAATATAAATAAATAAATATAAATAAATAACATATAATGTAATAAACATACAGCAGCAGAAACGTGGGCAACCCTGACTGCATGCCTTTCTTAATCTTGATCTAAAGGCTTCTGCTGAAGAGTCTCTATATGAATGCACAAATTTAAAACAACAAAAAATACTTTTAATTTAAACAATAGTTTTTATTTAGGACTTTAATGAGAAATTAGGATTAAATAATGATACATTTTCAGACTTTAAATTTCACTAAAGGTTAACTGGCGGAATGTCTGTCCTCTTTAACGCATTTCAACCAATCAGCTGTGCTGTGATGGGGAAGGACTGAGTCGATATAGCCCTATTTGTCAGAAAGCCAACACTTCTGACTGGAGCACTTACGAATCACTGTTGTCGGATCAAAACCTCGTATCTCCAAACTGAGAACTTTACATGAGAAAGAAAAAACCTGCTCTACTTTTAATGTAAGTCAATGGAACCAGACTTTTTTCAAAAATATTCTGGGTCATTTCTTTTGGTCTATTTATCATTAAATTTATACACAACGTATAGGACCACAGGCATTTTCAAATTATGTCAAAAACTGAAAAACAAAAATGGAGATATGAGGTTTTGTTCCAACAGCAGCGATATGAATGTCATACAAATCTCCATTTTTTTTTTTTTAAATGTGGGAAATAATAAAAACCCTGTTCTTTGAGTAGTTGTGCCCCAACTTTTGACTGGGAGTGTAAATATAGTAAAACATAAGAATGTTCAGTTTTCAAAAAAGGTATTTATATCTTGTGGGATATCTTGATATCAGTGGGGAACCCACAGGGCCCCCTAGGCTTTCAGGAAAGGCCTACTGATTTCTGTAAAATAAAACATTCAAAAGATCTGGACACAAAAGGGTTACGTTCTTGAAATGGCCAATGGACAAGGAGCCAATCATTTTTTTTCTATACGATATCTAGGTAGATACAGTCAAGCGAGCTCTCCCATTGGATAGGACTTTAGGAGCTGGACTAAAGGCCTTAGATGTTAGATTAATTAGGAAGTGACAGTGGAACCAACCAATCAGATTGATTTTACTGTCACTTCTGTTACTCTAGGTCCTCTGGAAGTTCTAGATACATCACTAACTGTAAATGCAAGCTGTAGTCTAAGCAGGTTTGGTTGTTAGGAATGGAAAACAGGTCTAGAGACGTAAAAATCATGTTGATGTGATTCGGCATTAGTTTAGCACTAATACACCCTTGGGGTGCTACCAGAAATTAGCATTAACATAGAGGTCACTGTATTTGAACTGAAGGCCTAGCTTCAGGGTCACAGTTTGCCAATGCTAGTGATAAACACTGCCACCTTAAGGGGAAGTTTGGAATCGATTAATCTAACAAACTAACATGCATCAAATCTATGTTCAATTTATTCTAACAAGATTTCTTTGAAATAAGCACTTACTGCCCAGATGAACTCCTCAGAAGATTTTCACACAGTACTGTAACTTTTGTTATGGTGTACTGACAAATCATATAATGAGGTGCTGATTGTGGGGATAATTTGTCTGACACAGCTCTACCATAATTATAATATGGGATGAGCGTCCAAAACAAGCTCATCACTCTCCTTGAATTGAAGGTGATTCCTGAACACTGCTGGCATTCATACGTTTATCCCCGTGTCTAAAAGGTGGCCAGATTACATCTGACGCTGTTAACCTGGTCATTTCATGTGACTTGTATCTGTTTGTAAACTGGCATGATTTTAACCACATTTAACCACATAAGAGTTAAGACTTCAAATGTGTCTCTGGTTAGTCAGACTGAAATCCGATTACTGTGTAATGCATAATAATGCAGATTTGCTTATGAACAACAATCAGTTGCTTGTCATTTCTTGTTTTCTTGCTAGCCTCCAGTATTAGTCATCACAGCTATGAACTACATGTGTTATGTATTGTGAAAAATGTACCAAACTGGAGCTTTATTTTAACTAGCTAAGGCCACTGAAGGCTATAAATTAAACCCAAGGTGGGCTTTTCATTGTTCAGTGTGGCTTGGAGAGACGGATCATTTTCGAGGATAGCCCTTGACTAAAATGCACATGGCTAACTTTTAAACTTAAAGTAATCATGCTTCTATTTAAACTCTGTAGTTTGGCAAAGTATACCAGTACTACTCTTACGTCATTGGCTGTGTTTACATGCAAAGACTTTTTCCAATCTGATTGAACACATTCCAATTATAGATTAAGACTGAAGAGTTTATGAACTCACTGTCCTGAACAACCTGTTGACAATCGCCATTTATATGCACACTACAAGTAATCAGATTCAAAATTACGCGCATGCGTAGAGACCACTTAGCGTAGATGTTACCATGACAACCAGCATCACGTGAGTCCAGTCAGAGTGAGATGAGCAGCAGTGAGCAGCGCTTGTGTTTTTAATTGCTTTAAAATGATGTCAGACTCAGGAAAACGTCCTTCACGTGTCCTTATTAAAGAAGGCCGAGAGGAAGACGTCGTGTTCTGAGACACATAAGCTGGACGTCCGTCCCACCGCCGTCTTTTAAAGATCAGAGCATAAACTTCGTCTCCTCTGCAGACCAGTTTCTGCTCCGCCAGGTTGAACGGTATAAACTTTCACTATGATGCGACGAACACGATCAGAACGGACTTAAACTTTCCGATAGGGAATGTAATCAGATACAGGCGTTTACACGGATATTATTCTTCTATTTAACGGATTATTTATAGGATTACCCACCTCAATCAATCGGATAGAAACTGTATTCTGAATTGCCTCAATCGGACTAGACTATTCCAATTGAGGTGTTTACATTGACATATTCTATTCCGATTGAGCTATTATTCGGATTATTAACAGATTATCAGGCTGCATGTAAACATGGCTATTGTTAGGATTTACAGCTAAACATTTAGGTTTTACTCCCATTGGTTGGGCCTTCAAGAGCTGAACAGAAGAAAGGTGGGAGGAGATGGAGTGGTGGTGGAACGCAAAGCTTTTGTCACCAGTACCAAACTGTAAAGAGAGGGGAGAATTTATAGGGCTTGGAAGGTGGAGGAGGAAGAGATTTGGGCGTGGTCCTTCTCCCAAACTTCATCTACTTCATAACTCCAGGTAGGGCTGTGATTCTTCCTCATTTCTTGACCAACTTTTGACATTTATGGCCCAGACTGAGGGCCTCTGGCTGAAACTCATCTGAGATCACCTCCTGAAGCAGTTAGAGCAATCGCATATATTCCTGATACTCAAGAAGCATGAAATGACCAGGTGTAAACGAGACCTCTGTCACGACACTGCAGCATCCAGATGAGAAGGATTCTTACAGCAAAGCCCCAGAGTTACTGATCTGCTCTACAAACCACAAACTGCACGCTCCCTGAAGGCAGACGGGACAGAGATGAAGGAAAACATTTTGGAAAATAAAAGAGAGAGGGAGATATGGTCCGCAGCTGATACCACAGTCCACTGAAACATAACCCTAGACTGGAATGGCTTCGGTTTGGATTTGGCTAAATTGCTGTCAGATGCCTCCAGTTAAAGGTCTGTGTGCAATTTTCTACAAAAGACCTTCAGAGATGTTTAAAATGCCACAGAAATGTGTGGTAAATCAGTGAAAGAGGGTCTGAAAGGGAAAACAAAGCTATCAGAAGCAACAGCTCACCTGACAGTGACTATGCTGTTTAGCGAAGTCTGTTTGATGTGTTCAGAAAAAAAGCAACCAGTTAAGAAGCAAGATGGATAAAGAAATGATGAGAACAAGAAACGTGAAAATAACTGCACACGATAACTCAGAATTGCTTCCTTCAAGCATGAATGTCTTAAATGCTCTTTTATAAATGAGACATAGAAGAGTGCAAAATCAGAATGAATGATTTTTGCTCCAAAACTGCCAAATTATTATTTTGATTTTGGATGATCTGTTGCAGTTTTATGAGGTAAATAGCATGAGGCAGGTAAGCGCACTCAAGTCACTGCAGCATATTTATGCACAGCTCACTGCACTGAACATCTGGTCGTCTCTTACTTTCAGTGTAGCACTTTATTTAATTAATGTTATTTAAATGGGCAGCAGATCTTTTTATTTAGGAACTTAACATATTATTGGGCTCATTAAAGTACAAATAATGTTATTTATGTTGAGACTTTGGCTTACAGAAAGTTCTGGATGTGCTAGTGGGTTTCATGTGTTCATGTAGGCCACAAAGTCTGAGATTCGGTTATTTTAAAAACAGAAGCAAAACAAAAAAAATTCATAAAAATGCTAATAAATATAGCCAAAATACAGCCATTTGTCAATCTGGCTGTAAAGATTTCAGAATCAGATGTAAAAACTTCATGATCAGTGCACCTACTGAGGAATCTACAGCTGTATGCAAAAGTTTGGGCACCCCCAGACCCCCGGACAATGTCATTTAACAGATAAAAGTTATGGAACATTTTAGACATTTCATATTTTATATTGTTCCCAATGTGTGAACTCAAATAAATCGAAATTGTGCACTAAAATTAGCAGATAAATCTCATATTAAAGGTGTTCTCTATAAAGGATATGTTCATTTTCATCTAGAAAACCATCAGAACAGACTACTTTCTGAATGAGGCAGCCAATCAGAAGAGAGCTGGTTTAAGTTACAGTAACAAAAACAGCCTGTTTAATTCTGAATGATAAAGAGAGGTTGAAAAACGGTTCTGTAAAAATAAATTATGAATGTTTTGGTACATAAAACTACACAAACTTCAGTGGAATAAATTGAAAAAATAAAAGAGGACGAGGGCCCTTTAAGGTAAGAGCACTGTAAGTGTCAGCTTGAGTCTACATGAGTGAAACTGGCGTGTAATGTAAATGTGAGGCTGTGGACCCCCGGCCTCCTGTGGCCCACCAGAGCTGTGGGGCAGATGTGGAACCCACAGAACAAATTCTGTTTTTTTTTTAGGAAAACAGAGGGTGAACAGATGAGTCACCCTCTCTCTCTCTCTCTCTCTCTCTCTCTCACACACACACACACACACACACACACACACACACACACACAAATGCACAGACAAGCACACACACATCAGCACACATGTACTGTATATTTACAACACACACACACACACACACACACACACACACACACACACACACAAAGACACACACACTCACACATAAATCTTTCCGCAGCACTCTGCTCTGACTCTGTACAGGGTGAGTGATGTATCTTTCATGATGAGGGATTTCTAAGTCAGCAGCAGGAGTTTGGGGGAATTATATAAGAGTTTTTCCATCTGCGTTAGGTAACAAAATGAAACGCTTGCAGGGCCGTTCCTCTATACCAGCCTGAAGGGCTTTGATTTTTTTTTTCTTTTGATTTCTGAACTTCCTCTGGGTTTAATGCACACTGCAGTGCCAAAGTTCTCAAAAGTCAACCATAATTGATTCATTTCCATTCAAAATGGCCACTAAGTACAAGATATTCACTTGTCAGTGTCTGAAAAAGCAGAAAACATATTTAACAGAAAACGACAAAATGACAACTGTCAACCACACATAATACACATTTTTCAGTATTCAGTGTGTCCACTCTTTACTTTTATTACAGCTTCCATTCTTTTCAGGAGAATCACTTTTAGTTTCTCAAAGAATCTGCAGACCCACCTCTAAAGTTCAGTCTTAGAAGTTGGTTTTGCATTTTCTGCTGTTTACAATTCCAGTTATCCCAATTACAAATTTAGACTCATTAGTCCAGAAAACCTTCCTCCACATCTCAGATGTCCAGTTTTCTCAGTGAGGTTCTTCTTGAACAGCTACACATCCTTTCAGACCCACAGCGCTGAGTCGTCTTCTCACAGTGGAAGGATGGATGCGGACTGTTACAGATCTGAAGTAAGAGTAGAGTTTGAGCTTTAAGTGCTGTTTACCTGATGGGGCAGTTTTGGTGTCTACCAGGTCTTCCAGGAGGTTGTTAGGAGCCCCATTTTCTCTGTAGCTTTTAATCTGTTTCTGAAAAGCTTGGTTTTGCACTTTGAATTTCCTTATAAATATTAATATCCAATCTCCTCAGAAATACCTTCTTTAGTCAATTAAGATGCAGATGAGAGAGAAACTTATGAGGCAGCTTAGGTAAATCTGGGCAGCTGTTTGTGTGAATGTTAGTGTCTCTTTGAAGAGGATCATAATGTCAGTGAGATCTTTGTGAGCAGCTTTTGTTGGAATGTCACAGCTGGAACTGGAGGGTTTTAAGACTGGAAGGATGGAGGGAATTAAAGTGGCAGTAGGTGCACAAAAGTAAAGAGTGAACACATTAAATACTCACAGATTTGACAATTGTTTTGAAAACTTTTGTGTTATTTTCTCTTAAATATATGCTTCGTGCTTTTTCTTTCTTCTGATTCTGAAAAATGAATAACTCAATGTCCATTTCGCCTGTAAAGTTTGCAAATACGTATAACTGATTTTGCTAGATTTGATGATACAACAATCAGCTAGCACAACTTACACTGTTTGACTAATTCCTGAACATATTGCTGCTGTTGGACCAAAACCTCATACTCCAAAATGGTAACTTTACAGGAGAAGGAAAAAACACACTTTACTTTTAATGTAAGTCAATGGAACCAGACTTTCTTCCAAGCAATTTGAGGCCGTTTCTTTTGGTCCATTCATCATGAAATTTAAATACAATGTAAAGAGCAATAGGCATTTTCAAATTATATCAAAAACTGAAAAACGACAAAATGGAGATACAAGGTTTTGTTCCGACATCAGCGAATATATTAGCATGGCAGATTAGACAACATTGCTAAAACCACCCATTATACTTAATTATAAGTTCCAATGACATGCTAGCAATAAACTTTGCAGAGCAAGCCATAAATCTTGAGCAGTCCCCATTAAATTTAGCAGGTATTCAGTCTCTCAGAGCTGCGGTATGAATGCTATAAAGCTCAGCTGTACAGCACAGCGAGCATAAAATCCTATCTAACTGCGACTGATAGAACTTTCATAGCTGGATAAGTGTGGTTTAGGTAGACAGACGGTGTTTTGATACCTTCATAAGATGCTTGTTCACCCATTTTGTGAAGGTCTTTTTCTGGACTCTGTCCCGCTCATCTGTACGAGAGAAAAGAAAAGAGAAAGAGAAGTGCAGTCATTAGTCACAGAGCATTAACTCCATCAAATCTAGGGTATGATCCAATCTAGGGTGTGATCCATTCAGAATGTTTGGGTTTGTCTCCTTTAGCTAATTAAAATCTGGCTCCAGAGTAGTTGGTGAGTGAATCAGCATGTTTTCTAACATAGTATAACAGAAGCTCCATGTCTGAGAGTTTAATGTCTCTGAAAGCTCCCTCACAGAAAGTTATTACATGAAATGGTTATGAATATGCTGCCTGAAGCCTCAGACATTGGCCCTTGGTCATCAAATTTGCATTTGATCAAATCTGATTGTAAAATAAACGCACACAAATTACACCAACAGTTTTATGATTCATCAGTTTCATCTTTGGCGTATTTCTAGGATCAAACCCACAGCTACTAGGAAGGAGCGTAAATTCAAGCTTTAACAACCTGAAAAAATACTTGATTTCTGGTTATTATTAATAATAATAATGATAATAATAATAATAATAATAATAATAATAATAATAAAAATAGAAAATAACATCGATAAGTTAAGTACATGACAATCCAGTACAGAAGTGGATGTACTTATTTCACATGTACATTGATATAAACGAATACACCATCTTCCATTTAAAGAAATAATGCACTGTGCTTTTATTTTGTACTATATGACTCCGCCCACAAAACAAACACACAGCTAGTGCAGAAGCACCTCCTCACTGCAATAACAGCATGTTATTTTTGGAAAATCATTGTTCAGTAACTACAGTGACTTGGCTACTTAAGAGATTCAAAAACATCAGTGACGTCTAAACATCTGACCAATGCTAATAACTGTTTTTGAGCCAATATCCGCTGATACTGTCCAATATCAATGCACCTCTGATTTATTCACATGGAAAAATGTATACACATACAAATGTATGTAAAAGTTTGAACAACCCTGGTCAACTTATTTACTTATTTATTTACAGACTGACTGACTTAAGTAAAAAAAAAAATAAAATAAATATATATATATATATATATATATATATATATATACACATCGCTGTTGTCGGAAGAAAATCGCGTATCTCCAAAATGAGAACTTTACAGGAGAAGGAAAAAACCTACTTTACTTCTAATGTAAGTCAATGGAACCAGACTTCATTCCAAGTAATTTTTGGCCGTTTCATTTGGTCCATTCTTCTTGAAATTTACACACAATGTAAAGGACAACAGGTATTTTCAAATTACGTCAAAAACTGAAAAACAACAAAAACAGAGATACAAGGATGTCTTTGTTTCACACACACACACACACACACACACACACATTATATATATATATAAACGTACCGTGACTTTCACACAGGCCATATTTCCATATTTCGTTTAATTAATCAAATTTAATGTGCACAGTAAATATGCATAAGTGTGTTCTCTGTAGAGGGCGTGTTAACTTATGTTAAAAAAAAAAATGTCATTTGACCAGGGTGCCCAAACTTTTGCACACGGTATATACTGTCTTTGGTTTAAGCAAAGTCAGTGCATTACTTTTTTCAGTCTGATATAACTTGTGTGACATTCCTACCAAGCAGTTGAATGCACAGTGCAGACTTGTCTCTGCTATAGACAGGTTGTGTCACGCTGTGCTGTTACGTTTCTGATTAAAACCGCAACATAATTTAAAAAACAAACAAACAAACAAACAAACAAACAAACAAACTCTAGTCTGATTTCGTCTGATTACAGAGAAGATCTCTGAGCAGAAGCAACACTCTGTACCATGATCTGAAGCCTCTGATTATCAAACCCTGCCAGCACTGAGAGTTACTGCACTGAGTGAGCTTGTTGTGTTGCGCGCTTGTTCCACAGGAATGAAAACATGGTGACGTTGATAAGGGTGGGGCACCGACAGCCGAGCCGTGAGTAGCCTATTCCTCATCAGAGCATCAGACAAGTAGCACTGATTACACAAGTACATAAAAGATCTTGTGTAATGCTCTGTGACTAACAGAAGCAAAAGATCCACAATCGCCAAATTCAATCCTGTCTAACTCCTCTTTCAGTTCCTACTCTCAGACTATACAACCAACGTTTCAATGCCTATTTATACAATGTATATAAACCAACAGCCTGTAACCGTGGTGAAATCACTGTACCAAATGGCTGGGAGTGGCACACTGCTTTAATAAAACACCAGCAAAATGTTGTGTGTCCAACATTTGCTTCATATTTTATTTTACTCTCAACTTATAAAGTTTTATGTATCTAAACCTCATAATGAGCTCTGTTCTGATTGGCTGCTCTGTATTGAATCTCATTCAAAAATCAGTCCTGGCTGGAACACACCTTATAACTTTAGTGTGAATGGGGGGCTAAATTGCTATAGGCTGAATATGCAGATATATATAGTTATGAGGCTATTTGTGACATTAAAATGGGCAGTTTTTGCAGATTAGCTTCCATATATGGACTGTACAGATTTGAGAGTGAACGTTTTGAAACTTTATATACTGTATCAAACTGTGCTTCAAGACTTATTATTAATAATTACCACAGTAAACTATTCTTCCACCAAACAAGGTAGTCATCGGTAACGGTAAGCTATAATGCTCAAAGGCCATTTCATGAGCAGCAACCACTTTTAAAGAACTTACAGAAGTCATGTGTGTGTCTATCAAGTATTTTACAATGGCTCTGAACATGATTCAGTCAGACGTTAGACCCATAATAATAATAATCTAGAGGCCTGGCTTAAGGGGGCAACGTCCCACCAACCAACTATCATGTACCACCCCATTTCTTTGTACACGCTTATATATATAAACAATGGAAGGGAGGCTAAACTGTGTGCATGATTCTGCACTGCCTGGCATGAAAGGCTACGCTGATTAATATAGGAGGGGCTGCATGCATCACTTTATATTGGCTGCATTTAGGATGTGCTGCATGTTGGAGAAGTATCAGCAGACAGATCTCCTAAATGGGTGGAAATTTGGTGATTTGCTGTAAATGTGGCTGAATACCACGAGGACCACTGCTGTAGATCAACCGCAGATTTCTTGCCCCAGAACAAATCATGCCTTCTTCTTCCATGCTGTGATACATGGTATCACAGGGGATCTCACTGAGTTCCCCATTTATTAGAAGCAAACATCACTGTTGTCGGAGGAAAACCTCGTACCTCCATTTTTGTCGTTTTTCAGTTTTTGACATAATTTGAAAAGGCCTGCTGCCCTTTACATCATGTGTAAATTTCATGATGAATGGACCAACAGAAACGGCCAAAAATGACTTGGAAAAAATTCTGGTTCCATTGACTTACATTAAAAGTAAAGTGTGTTTTTTCTTTCTCCTGTAAAGTTACCATTTTGGAGATACGCGATTTTCTTCCGTCAAAAGCGATATGTACATATGTTTGCTCCTAATAAAATATAGGTGTAATTCAAGTGATGTTTAAAAAAAACTGCGCTGAATATGTTTAAATATTTAAATATATCCCAACATATGTTCATATGTAGAGTTAATATATTACACGACACATATTTTGAAAAATATATGTTAATATATTTCCTTTGCATACAGGTTTTCTCTTGATTAAGAATGATGCTAATTGGATGTGGCGGTGAAACTTAATATTATTAGTTCATTTTATTTTTCCCCGCCCACTGGTGCACGATGACATAAAACTCAGAAGAGGTTTATAGGCGGGACAAAAGTCATCACGTTTCGATGGAAGATTACAGAAAATAAGAAATTAGTCTTTTAAATGACGAATCGTGTTGAACACAATTAAGTACATAAAGAAAAAAGATGAAAAACGTTTGATTGGCACCAAAAAGAGAAGAGTAATTCGAGGACACAAACTAAAACAATCTCCCTCTATGAAACCAACACGGCTTCAAAGAGAGGATGTGATAGTGTTTAAGTTCTAAAGTTTTCAAAGAGCCCTAATTTTCTTCCTCTTGTTCGCTATTCCATAACAACGCGAGAAATGTGAGCCACAACAGCCTCTTTTTGATGTTATGTCATATTGTTATCATGATGACCATGAGAAGAACCGCAGCAGGCACTGTTCCTCTTTCTGGATAACACAAAGCAATTCACAGTAATGCATACATAAGAGTGAGCTATATGGCAAAAACAGCTCGATACGTAAAGACATTTTCACAATATTTTGACAACAAGTTGTGAAAACACACTCTTTGTAAGTCGATTATCCTCCTGAGTCACATGGGGTACTGGAGCCTATCCCAGCACTCATTGGGCAGAAGGCAGGAAACACCCTGGACAGGCCGCCAGTCCATCGCAGGGCAGACACACAGACATACACATTCACACCTAGGGCCAGTTTAGCATCTCCAATTGGCCTGACTGCATATTTTTGGAATGTGGGAGGAAACCAAAGCAACCCACACAGACAACCCCACAAATGATCCTGGTCGCCCGGCCGGGGAATCGAACCCAGGCTCTTCTTGCTGTTAGGCGACAGCACGGCCCACCAGGCCGCCAGAGTGACAAAACAAACCAGCAAAACAGTAGCGTCACATTTTAAAAGCTTTGAAAAACATTTGTTTGTTTTTTTTTGCAAAAATAAACCATATAAAAAGAAGCATTTTTTTAGTGTTCAGTGTGCTGGAAGTGATTTCCAGTAACACAAGGCAGACAAGGGCACCCCTGCTGTATTTGAATGCTGTTCCAAAATGTCGTAACATAATTATACATGACTCACTGTGTTAAACTGCCAACTGCGTCTTGCTTTCAATGTAGCACTTCATTTGATTCCTGTCATGCATTAAACAGGCAACTGATTTTTCCTTCAGAAATAATTAAATTGCCAGTTTGGCCCATTAAAGAGAATATTAAGAATGTTATTTATGTTATGATTTTGGCCAATAAAAAGTACTGGAAAAGTGCTAATGTATTTCATGTGTTCATTTAGCCCACAGTGGGGTAAAAAGGCTAATAAAAATTGGTCAAAAAATCTGTCCATCAGCCAA